AATTGAAATTTGAAACAATTGACATTATTAATTATAGAAAAATGAATAAAATAATAGATCAAGATGTTGTGTATGAGTGTAAGCGCACAAAAAATAAAAAAAGAGAGAACGATTATAAAGAAAATAAGTAGAATTATATAGTGATGTGGATGAAATATTAGACCCATAAAATAGTAAGATATATATATAAGAGGAGAAAGACATATATATATATATATATATATATATATATATATATATATATATATATATATATATATATATATATTCAAATTAGGGTAAAGTATAGTCAATACTAAATTACACAACATGAAGCTAAGGACAGAGAGACAAGGGTACCATAAAAATTGTTCACCATGTACTAAACACAAGGATGGGGGCCCTCATTGCAGCGCAGCAATATAATGACCTCTGATATTAGGGCACAAGTTTTCACCTTATTGCTCACAACATGACAAAAGAAAACCCTAGAGAGTGAGGTATGGACATGACAACAGACTTTGTTTTTCAAAGGACAAAACCTAATTGGTGACATCTTTAGAAACTTTATCTTTGAGTGTCTTGTCGTCCCAACATACAGCTACAACTTTGGAGAACCAAAACTAAAACTTTAACCAAAACTCTTGTTTGCTCTAATAATTTGAGTTTGCGATATTATATTATGAACTTTATGAATGTTCATTAAAAAGTAAATTAAGTCAATTTAGGTTTAAAACTTAACATAAAAATACATATTTTTACACCCAAAAATACAACCCAAACTTAAATCGGCCCCTAATGTTTGTGACAGCTGGGACGACCGGCTATTAGAAGTAAGTTTTAAGTGAAATTTTTTATTCACTATACTAATATATGCATTGTGACAAGTTCATTCATATTTATCTTGGAGTATAAAAGTTTTGTGTTGATTTGGTAGTCTCATTTAATTTGGTCAATATTTAGTATAGTTATTATGAATTCTTCGAGCTACCACTAGGTGTTTGGCCCCTCTTAATCATAACTCTATGAGAGTTACATCACTGCTGGAAATTATGAAATTTTCGACCACCTGAAAATGATCTTAAATCAAATCAAAATTGTCATGTTCCGACCATTTTTGGCATCCGAAAAAATCTTTGTTGCTATTTTCGACCACTTTTTGTTTTTGACTTGATATAAGATCACTTTCAGGTGGTCGAAAATTCTATAATTTTCAGCAGTGCATGAATGATTTAGTTAATTAAAATGACACACATGCTTTAATTATTTTGTTTCATGTAATTTTTTTTTTCTTTTTCTCTGTATCTAAAAAAAAGCGGGTAACAGAAAATTAGTAATTTACAATATCATCTTTATAGATATGCATATATGTTATATCAATACAGATGTGACATAAAATTACTGTTTAGATCTAGCATGCATTGCAATTTGTCTTTTGAATTATTAGCTTTTGCTTGTTTTTTTCTATCTATTCATATAATGACAATGCAACAATGTGCTACTATAATTAATTTGCCAATAACTACATATGTTATAATTTAAAACATCACATCCAGTATAATCACATAGACAAAAGATATTAAAGTGTGTGCACGCATGCATATATAATGACCTAAAGTTTGGGGAAAAGGAAGTATAAAACCCTTGGTAATGATCTTGTGGTCTAGTGGTACGAAGTACGTGGCTCTCCCAAATGAAAGATCATGAGTTTGATTCTTAGTGTGGCTCTTTGTGTTTCAGTAGGCTAAAAAAGAAAGTAGTTAAGAACATGGTTCGATTCCCATGTGAGACTCTAAGAAAGTAGTTATGGACAGAGGTGAGACTCTTTGTGTTTCAGTAGGCTGAGAAAATAGTTATGAACAGGGTTCGATCCCATGTGGCTATGTGAGACTCTTTGTGTTTCAGTAGATTGAGAAAGTAGTTATGAACAAATACTACATTGTAATAGAGTAAGTATTACTCAAAAAAGGATAAGTTTATTAGGGTTTAGTTTAATACGGAGTATTAAATTATATTGCCCGCTTCTTAAATAGCACAGTTTATTTAGTTAGAATATCATCACCGACGACTAGTAATAATTGTCTAGTTCATAAGTTGATATATAATTATTAATACTCAAATAAAAAAATGCAAAATCCAACATGTAACTATCTACTAGCTAGATACAGTGCAGACTGACAGTTTGTATAGTTACAGTGTTACTGTGTTAGCTTATTTGTTACTTTTTGTCCACAGTATAATGTAATGCCTATTATACAGAGTAAATACTCAAAATGGTCCATCGACTATAGCTAAATTCACAAATTGGTACTTAACTTTTAATTTCAACCAATTAAGTCCTTAACTTTGCAATTTTAACACAATTTGGTCCTCCGTCTATTTGACCGTTTGTTGACCGTGATCTTTGAGGATATATATGTAATTTCATGTGCAAAGCTCAAAAGAATTTTGACCGGTTCAGCTTGCCTACGTCGCTTGGAGTCACGGCTTTCTTGAAGAGCCGCTCCAGGGACTTCGTCGATCTATCTATCAAAAACTATAATCTCTCTGGCATGGGGTGCAGCTCCGGCCTGATCTCAATCGATCTTGCACGTGACCTCCTGTACGTGCACCCCAACTCTAACGCCCTGGTGGTTAGCACGGAGATGATTACACCCAACTATTACCAAAGGCGACCAAATTTGGTAGATTGCTTTCGGCAGTGGATTCAAATGCAACATTGCAGTCTGAAAATGCAACCGGAACCTTAAAAAATTAACGATGGACCGTGAAATTACTTATATATCCTCAAAAATCACAGTCAACAAACGGTCAAATAGACGGAGGACCAAATCGTGTTAAAATTGCAAAGTTAAGAACTTAATTGGTTGAAATTGAAAGTCGAGGACCAATTTATGAATTTAGCTATAGTCGAGGGACCATTTTGGGTATTTACTCTATTATATATTGTAACTAATTAGTTATAATATTTATTAATAATTTATGTTTTTTTTTTTCTTGTTGGGTGCTGCAGGCTTGGAAAGTTCAACATTCTTCTATTGAAATTTGGCACAAATTGCTATGCAAATATAAGGAAATAAAGTTATGTTTTTGCTACTAATTACAATTTTTGGCATGACAGCCTGGTAAATGTTTAATCCTTTTGTTTGCATGGTCTATGTGCGTTGTCATGATTGATGAATACATATGATTCTTAGTAGTGTTAACATCAGTGTCAATTGATAGTACTGTAAAGAAATCACATATAGCATATAAATGAATAAATTTCTATATAGTTTGAGTGCATGCACAAAATGCAAGTTGATGTTGTATGAATTGAAAAGATCAGATCAGAGCTGCAGAAAAGGTTAAGTATTGGGACTTAATGGCCTCACTGCTGCATGTTGGTCCCAGTTTGCAACTGGCCTGTACTGGGCACCTATATATATATATATATATATATATATATATATATATATATATATATATATATATTTGAAAATAAAGTTGCAATATATTAATGAATGTAAGTAACAATAGAGTTGGGGGGACAGAGTCCTAATACAGCGATGTAGATGAGCATAGGCTGCTGCAGTAAGAGTATGAGCATGTAAATTTAAGGCTCTAGAAACAAAACTAACATAACAGAAAACAAACGAGGACATAGCCGCTCTACACTGATCAATAACAACAATATTTTCTAAATAGCCAGTTATAAACAAATCATTATCAAATTAAAACTACATACAATAGGACAACATTATTATTTTAAGTTTTTATTTTCTAAAAGAATTTACATGTTATGCATCAGGATTCAGTAATGGAACAATGTTTTTTTTTTTTCAGTTCCCAAACAACAAACAATTATCAAAGTGATTTGTAACCAACCAATAACACTTGAATAGAAGATAATATAATGCACACATTTTGGTCTGTACTGTCCAAATTCATGGATGCAAGTTTATGGAAAGAGTAATATATATATATATATATATATATAAACTCATCATGGTGCTTGGGACTTGTCGGCCAATTGAAACACATCCTAAAATTTACTTCATGTAACATACAATCTCCATGGCAGGAGCAATAGGGTTCAAATAAACTTATATATTAGCTCGACTAGATAACAAAATAATTAATTAATTTTTTTCAAGACCTAATTAATTAATTAATGGCATTGCTCATCATCTTAATTAATTAATCTCAATCATTTAAATTTTTTTCATAAAATGTCTTAACAAATAGCTAGCTAGGTTTTTATCCTTGATGTGATAATATATATTATATGAATATATGATATATATATATATATATATATATATATATATATATATATATATATATATATATATATATATATATATATAAAGAAATTCCAACATAATATATATTATATGAATATATGATAAAGAAATTCCAACATACATATACCCTTTCTCAGTTTCTCACATATACTTCAAATTTGTTAATTATATCAAAGTTTTCTTTTTGAACATTACTTTTTCTAAATAATTCATAACAAAATCCATTGATTAACTCATGCATAACCAATGAATATAACCTATATTGCAACTTTGATTGCCGACACTATATCTTAAATAAGATTTGATACAAAAATTTAAAGCAAATTAAATAGAATTTTCCTATATATATATATATATATATGTGTGTGTGTGTGTGTGTGTGTGTGTGTGTGTGTGTGTGTGTGGATACTGGTTCAAGTGGGATGGTTGGAAAGACAGAATGGAGTGGATCTAATTAAGAAGAAATTAAAGAAAATAAAAGTTATTCTTAATGATATGATGTTTAATTTTGCCCTAGCTAGCAAGGAACAGAGTAACAGAAAAGGGTTAAAGATCGATAATCATAAGATTAAAACACATACATAATACAGAAGCCTATACTAGGATTCACATAAATAATACTGTTTTTTTCCTAATTTACAATTAATTTTTAGTTCAGTTTAGGCTTCTGTTCTTTCTTTTTTTTTTTTTTTTTGCCGATAAATTACGCAATTAACTTCATCACATTCAGTACGTTCAATCATACCACATGTTTGAAGGCATTATCCCCGGAAAATCCTCTATCAACTGCGGCAGGTAATCCGGCGCCGTCTCCGACGAGAGATCTGAGCTCTCCGGCACGTCGCTGCTCCCATGCTGCACCCCCGCCTCGCCGGAATGTTCTTCCGCCGAGACCTTGTTCCCGTCCGGAACCACCAGCTGCATCCCGCCGCCGGCACCGACACCGGGGCTCCCCGGGAACTTGAACGGCGGGCCCGGGACGTCGGCGTCCTGGCCGGTCAGTTCCTGCACCAAAGCCCTAAATTCCGACGGACTCGTCTCCACTTTCATCGGGTTTGAGATGTACACCACCTTCAGCTGCTTCCTGGCGGCGGCGTTCGCCGCCGCTTTCGGCTGCTTCAAAGCTTTCTTCTTCTTCTGCGGCGGCGGCTGCGCGCTCAGCGTTTTCTCCATCAAAAACAGTTATCTGCGAACCGGAAAACCGCCCGGAAATCTGCGAAGGGTTTTGCGATCTTCCAAAGAGAAAAATGGTTTTTCTTCGTCACAAGAAAATGGAGATCGGAAAGAGAGAAAGCGTACGAATCGATAATAAAGGGAAAAATGGATAGTTAACTGGAGACGAGACGAGAAGGTAGGGACTAATGGACTATACAGCAAAACGGGAAAGCCTGATCCCCCACGCGGGACTCAGGGCGCGTGCTTTTCACCCGCTTTCTGGATTTAGCTAAAAAATCTTTTGGGGATTAATTATTACGGAGTATTATTTTTTCCAATTGAGGTTCGTGTTTTGCCACGCTGTCATTTTTGTTCCTCTTGACTACTACTCGAAGATTTCTACATATAGCAACCGTGTAAATTCTATATTTATATTAGAATATCTAAATTCTAAATTTAGAATATCTTCATGTAGTAATCATTCAACACTATTTTATATTTGTTACCCTCTCACATTTAATTTAATAACCACAATTTTATATTTATTACTCTGCTGTGATCCTTAACCAATTAGAGTTACAAGATCGAGTTTACTCAATACACACCATCAAATAGTAGTTGCGTCACTCAAAAAAATAACTTATTTACACTTTCTTCGATTTCTCTCAACATTCATACATACACTTCTCATGTATCATTTTACTTGTCTTATTTAATTTATTATTTACTAGTCACACCAAATCTTATATATATATATATATATATATATATATATATATATATATATATTAAACTACTCCATAGTTCAAACTCAACATAATACATATACTCTCGCTAATGTGGTGCATGCGGATCAAACTAAAAAATTAATGAATTTACAATTATTTTTCTTTCATTCCTATAATGAAAAGGGCAATTTATATCATGCATCAGGGCGCGCATTGCATTGTGTGTCCAGATGCAAAACGACGTCGTTTCAGTTTTTTTTTTTTTTTTTTGAAATTTCGCTATAATTTTCTTTTTAAAAAAAATTTCATGTTCAAAAATGTACATAATGTTATACTAGAATACACATAATTGTATACATGAATGTACGTAATTATATAACAAAATACACATACTCTTTTTTAAAAGATAATACACATTATCTAACATAATACATGATAAACATAAACTTTTAACATAATACACATCAACTCTTAACATAATATACAAAAATTTACTGATTCGGATGTACATAATTGTATAAAAAAATATACATAATTGTATAAACAAATATACATAATCATGTCAACTTCCTATTGCGCCTCCCAAAACGACGTCGTTTTGGGAGGTGCGGGACGCATAGTACACTGTGCGAGTAGTTATGCTGTGCATCCGTATGCACCATGCATGGTGCATACGGATGCAAAAACGACGTCGTTTTATTAAAAACCCGCGTCTCCCCTTAAAAAAAATTTCAGGTTCGATTCTCAGCAATAGCATTATGTTATTCATTCATTCTGGAATTTTAGTTCATAGATTATGGAATTTTAGTTCATTGATTCTGGAATTATAGTTCATCGATTCTGGAATTGTAGTTCATCGATTCTGAAATTTTTAGTTCATAGATTAGATTATGGAATTTTAGTTCGTATGTTGTTGCTGCCTGCTGAGAATCGAACCTGATTTTTTTTTTTTAAGGGGAGACGCGCGTTTTTAATAAAACGACGTCGTTTTTGCATCCGCACAACATAATTTGCCACACTGTGCACCGTGGTGCAGGATATGTATAACGATTGAATGAAAAGAGGACAAATGACAAGATCATCAATATATATTCATTGAAAGTATATTAAATATTTTTTGTCAGAACACAGCAATTAATTTAACATAATAAAAATAATACCGTAATAATTAAGTCCCACGTGAATATTTTGGTTCCTACACCAGCCATAGCCATCAATGAGGGAATAAAGATGGGCGTTGGGCAGCTACTTCTCCCTTGTCCGGGTAAACCTAATCTCATTTGGTTACCGCATTGAGAACGATTCATCAGACAAAAAGAAAAATAAAAAAAAAATCAAATTTTATAATATAATGATGAAATTAAGTATCATAAATTATTATATTAATTAAGTATTTAGAATTATTTCACAATAAATTATTACTGTGGACATATTTGTTATCATGGTAGGGGGCCGCCATCGGCAGACCACGTTACGCCACGTGGCGCAGTGTGGAGTAGGAGAGTTGACGTCATCAGAGCGCAGCCGGGTGACGTCACGAGCCGATATCGCGTCGATCATTTATCGCCATTCGGGTTAGAGATAACTAGATAAGTTGCAGTGGTCCCCACCCAGCTCTCATCATAAATTCTGTGGGGGCAACCTCACTTTGTCCGATACCATCACAGCCCTATGTATTTTTTTATTTTTTATTTTTTACAAATACTCCGTAATATTTTTGTGAAAAAAAAACCTGTCGGCAAAAATAAAATAAAATAAAATCGCAAATAATGGAATGTGGCAAGAAGACACACTCATTAGGGTCTCAACTGTCAAGTCGTATCAACTGTAGGGACATGTACATGGTGTAGTAACTTTAATCGATTCTATTAATTTTTTCTTTTGTTTTTTTGTATTTATTCGAAAATAAAAACTTAAGGGGCCGTTGCCCGTTTACTAACTGAAAATTTCTAGACATTTTCGAAAACTGAAAAATAGAAAACAGAAAATATGTTTACTAACATAGTTTTCATTTTCAAAATTGAAAATAATTTTTGAAAATTTCTGAAAAACTGAAATACACTTAAGAACTGTTTTCGAAATATAAAACAGAATCATCTATCATCTATTTAGTTATATGTCACTATAAACACATTACTATGATTACATTCATTATCATCTTATTTTACTTATCACTATCTTCTATCTTTTCTACTTACTTTACTTTATTTAAAGATAATTTATTTGCTTACACTTTAAAGTTTGACATTATTTACATTATCAAAATTAAGAATTAAACTCTATATAATGTTTTCGATTTTGATTGAACTCAATAGATTATTAGTTCGAATATTTTTAATTATGTTACATCATAATACAAGTTCGGTCCAAATATCGTATATTGAAATCTCACATATATTAGAATTCAAAGTAAAAGTTATATATTTATGTACACGTCATTCAAATGAATATATCCAAAAAAAATATTTTAAATATTAGCTCAAAAAATATTAATATTATTTAAACTAAATTTTAGGTGAAAACTAAAAAATTAGAAAACAGAAAACAGAGAACAGTTTTATGTTAGTAAACAAGTTTTTTAAACAGAAAACATAGAATGGAAAACAGAGAATGAAAACTGAAAATTAGAAAACAAAAACAGAGAACAGTTTTCTGTTAGTAAACGGACCCTAAGTTTCTTAATTATTAAGCTTTTAGTTTCTTGACCAATGAAGTGTAAATACAAAGTGTAATTCCCGATCCAACAGGATAGTAGAGGGTGTCCACCGCATTGAATAAAACTCACACATTATGATTATTAAAGTTCGATCATATATCATTGTCCACAATCTATCACTTAAAAATTAATTAAACTGTTTATACGAACATGATTTTAGTTCCTTACTAATGAAAATCGAGTCTATCGTTTTTGCTTAGTATTTTTTAGTGACTAATGCACACTGTATTTTTTTTTTTTTACAATTTCTTAAACCCGAATAAAATCATTTTAACACTTAAAAGTTTTTTCTCTATCTCAACCTTGCACCAAAATTTATTTTTCTAAAAATTTGTAAAAAAAAAAATTAAAATAAATAATAATAATAATAATAATAATAATAAATCAATGGGATGCTCTAATAAAATTATAGAGCACGTGCGTTGACTTTTGGACATTTTTTAAGTTCTGGTACGGATTGACAAAAGACTGACATGCCTTCCTCAACTTAACCCAATCCAAACATTACCCTCTTTTTCATTTTCTTCTTGTATTTTACTTGTATGTTATATCACATCATTTCAGTAACGTGAAGATTAACATGGCGTTTGGTTGGAAGTAATGAATTACGGGAGAAATGAATTATAATTCAGTAGAAAAAGAATAAGGTGAAAACAAAGTAGGAATTCAAATTATGTTGTTTGGTAGGGAAAAATATAATTATTGAAATTGAGAATGAAAGTCGTTTAGGACGATATTAGGTCACCAAAGTCTGGGACGATATTAGGTCACCAAAGTCGTTTAGGACGAAATTGAGAAAAACCACTATAGTCGAGGACGATTTTGGGTATTAACTCAAAACTAAAATATCATTGTGTAATAATAACCAAGGATACTAGTGTCATTTCATCTATTTTTCTTTTCTCACATTCATTGAATGCAATTTATGGGTACCCCATGAATTGCAATTCAACAAAAAGAGGGAATTGCAATTCTGTAACAACGTAATTGAAGAATCAATTGAATTTCAATTCAACTACAGCTAAATTTCACTGAACCAAACGCCATGTAAAATATATACTTTTGTTCGGTTCAAGAAAACATTATTTTTTATTTCATTTTTAACATGTTTATGAGAATTTTATTTCCCTAAATTTATTGGATTATCTAAGATTCTTTCCAGAATGTTACGTTATCTAAAAACATTTCTTGAATTAATTATATACTCTTTTAGATTTCAGATATTGTCATAATTCTAATTTTGGTCTTCAATTATAAAAGTTGAAAGAATTAATCCATAAATTTTATGGAGCAAATGATGTTGTTGCCAATATTTTATTAAATTTTGATTTTTTTAGTCTTTTTTAATACTACCGACTCAGTTACCGCCTACACTGAAACTCAAACTCACAATCTCCTATCTGGGAAAATAACTTGGTGCCACTAGATCACAAGGTCATTGGCATACTTCTTTTTTACATCAAATTGGGTAAATTATATTTACTTGTGTATTTCCTTTATTATGCTCATGACATCCCATTGCATTTCTACTTTCTAGCACACCAAGCAATTCCAAGACCTCAAATATTGTAATGTTCGATATTTGTCAACATCTCTCGACTGAAGCCTATCACACAAGGTCTTCCACTGCGATTTACTTTTCCTGTGTAGTTACACGAGTATAGTTTACCCACTACACACCTTTGAGTAGTGGATGTAAATTCCTCTCGAATCCAAAATATTGCCAATATATTTTATTTAAAAAAAAAAAAAAAAAAAAAACACACACACACACACACCCACACAAAATTCAAACTGAACTATATCCTCACATAAATAGGCTTCTAAAGGGCAGTGAATATAATGATAACAACAATTACAAATGCCTACAGTGAAAGATGCAGCTAATCCCCAAACAGCCAAAGTCCCTAAACAGTACCACAAGAAATATGGATAATGATAGAGTTACTCTTGACAGTAAAAACTCAATCCGACATGGTGCGATATAATTGGTTGACTATCAAATCACGAACCCTTTAATTCGACAACCAACCAATCATAACGTGCCACGCCATACAAGATTTTTACTGTCGGAGTACCTGTAGTATTACTCTAAGAACATACTATCCTCTGTTCTTTGAAAACAGCTAAAAAGAATCTGAGTGACTAGGTGATTGGGGAGCTAGAGCAGGTTTAAGGCATAATATTTTACACGATATACAAATGTTATGAGATAACAACTACAGTCTACAGCAACATAATCAAGTACTTGAAGGAGGCGGTTCATGCTTGACGCATGGCTTGAGTATCCCGGGGATAGGAGGTGATGTGGCAGACCTACCGGGTATATTTGGCATAGGAGGATGAGGGATCTGAGATTGGGAAGTGTTGGTATTGCTGGAACCTTCCCATCCATTGGCCGAAAGATTGCGTGCCACAGCATTACTCTTTGGTCTTTCACAAAATTTCATCGCCTTGAGGACATAATTATCATCATGCAGCTCAAAGGGAGTGCTGCAATTGGTTAAACCATACAAATTACTGAAGTTATTATAGAATTGAGGTAAAATGTTTGGGTTTGAAATCCCGTAATATCTCTATTCTCTATGCTTGTTGGTAACTGATTAGAACTCGATGCAACGGTTGTGCATAAACTCAGTTGTCATGTCTCGTGAATTACCAGCAATCCTCGGAAAAAAGGGGCCAAATTGAAGAGGAGTGAAAGCAAATAAAATCTTAGACGTCTCTTACCTGTTAAAGTCAAAGTGCACCAATTGCATATCTTCTGATATTTCCACTTCAACAGTTGCATGAGGACGAGTCTGCATTTCTCGAATGCAAAAGAAAATGAGAGGAATGAATGAATGATGAGACGGCAGAAAAGCTAGATTTAGCACTTTCAGGAAAAATCAAGTTTTAGTAGTTTCAGAAGCACCAAGATTCAGCAGAGTTAGATTTAACAGGAAAGAAACAAAGTAGCCAAGCGTCTGGACAAATCATGACTCCAAGTGACTTGCTTAATGACCACTTGCCTAATTACACTATGTGTAAATACCAATGTTGCAAAAATCCCGCCTAGGCACCGATTAATCAGCGCTAGGCGCTGGCCGGCCGCCTAGCGTATCACCATAATCGGCGGTCTAGGTGGCTGGCCGACTAGGCCGCCTAAGTGCCGACTAGGCTGCGTAAGTGTCGTCTAGGCCGCCTACGCATTGACCGCCTAGGCCTCCTAGGCACCGACTAGGTCGCCTAGTCGGCCAATTAACTATTGTTCCGTTCTTTTTTAAATGAGTTATTTCACTCAAAACGACATAGTTTTGAGCGAAATAATCCTAAATTGTTCAAGCTTTAGATTTTTTTAGGTTAATATTTAATATTTTAGTATTAACTATTAAAGTATTAAATAGTTTATAATTATCAAGTCTTAAAAATTAAAAAAATTTAAACAATTTTTTTAAAAATAACAAATAAAATAAAAAATACACGGGCGCCTAGGCGCCGATTAATCCCCGCCTAGGCACCCTAGGCGCTAGGCGCTCCCCGAGCGCTCGATGGGCGCCTAACGATTTTTTCAACCATGGTAAATACATTCATATGTCACACGCTCACATGAGTGTGTTTACTAACAAAAATCTTAATAATAAATAAATAAATAAATAAAGAGTGACATTAGGGAAAAAGAAACATGTTTTTCCTACCAAATAGCACCAGCTTAATTCGCATTCACATATGGTGGCTTTTAGAGAAGTTGGATAAGAAACAAAGTATATCTTTATTCTCATGCAATTTCCGGTGATGCTTGATAGCGGAGAGAATTATTTATCTTTTTTGAGGGAATGCTATTGTACACTTGGCAATGACAAACTTCAATAATCATTTCTACCAATTACAATAAATAAGAAACTGTCAAACCTTCCTACCTGAACCAATATAAATGGTAAAGCCACACCACCACTTGGAGTATTTCCAGAGCTATATAACTGCTCATTTCGTTTTATGAGGTTTTGAAGACCTGTGTACTTTTACAAAGAAAAACTCGAAAGTAAAAATAAAACAAACAGAAGTAAAGGAACAGATAGCTAAATAAATGAAATTTCCCACACCATAAGGATATAAAATTATCGAAGTAACTAGATAAGAGTCCTACCTGTTCCTCCAGTTCTTCTAAATAGGCCGCCTTCTTTTCAATCCTGTTTCTCAATCCAAGACTCTCAGTCTGCAAGTATAATATTATAATGAATTACATCATCGAATATTTTTTTTCCAACAGATAAATTAATCCAGAATATGTACCAGCAAGCATCTTCCAAAGAAGAATGCCTAGTATAGTATACAAGAGCTTTTGAAGTACCTTATACTATGTTTGAATTGGGAAAAAAAAAAGGAGTGGAACATTTTTCTTTTTTAAATCTAGAATGAATTTTTGTTATCTCCTTCCTAAAACTGGAAGAAAATGAGGAACAAATTGACCCCGCCTTTCTCAACAATCAACGCATACTATACATTTAGCCTAGCTCATCTCACCATTTCCTCTTTTCTTTCTCATCATCCAAAATTTCTTTATTTTAATTACATCTGCTTTTCTACCCATCCAAGCATATCAACCAGAGCTAATCTTTTCTGAAATTCTGCATCCACCCCTGGTACCTTTTCTTAGTAATTACATTACTTTAAAAAGTTTTCTTTTGTACGAAAAATGTGTGCAAAACAGCAAGGGAAAAGAGGTGAATACTGGAAAAGGTAAATTTAAGCCCAAACCTTTAGCTCTTCAACATCATTTACGCTTGCTCGTGGCAGACCCTTCCACTGGATTTCCTTTTTATCTTTTGAAATAATATCCATTGCCATAAGGACATTTAGAGCATCATACACGCGCCTTCGAATGTTTTTCTCATCATATTGTTGCTGTCATGTAAACCACTATGTCACTATCCCTTTGAGTTAAAACATAAATGAAAATGAGAGTCGAGATATATATATTAGAAAATGAGAAACCTGATCTGGCGATGCAAAATTATTGTTAGGATCAGCAAATTCAGCCACAAGTTCATCTGCTACCTGCAAAAGACATGGACTACTCCTATTAGGCAGAGATGGAAATCGATTAATTGTACTGCATTAGACATGAAATAAAAATTAAACTCAACCAAGCTTTATTCACAATCCAGCCAAGGTGAAACAGTAAATACATTGAGAAATCAAAAAGAAAAATTATGCCTCATTTAAAACCAAAGATATTAATCGTCCTTAAGCAAGCAAACTTTGAGTTAAGCCTTACAAGTTAATAGGAGAACATACATCACCACATCATAATGATTGAGGAAACAGGGAATGTTGTTATTCATGTTTGTTTAGCTAAGCAGCAAACAAGAAAATAATTAAAATAAATAGAAGTAATAAACAGATGTTTATGGAAGTATGCCAGTAAAGTTTCAACTCAGTGGAACTAAGCTGTACCAACTAGCAAAGCTTTTGGAGCATATCATTCATTATTCCCCAAAAATGCAATGGGTCCAAGTAATAAACAACCAACAACATCAAGTTGAATGCTAACAATTATAACTGTTATAAACTAGGCAAATTATATCGTGCGCCCTGGTCAAAACGACATCGTTTCCTGTTTCTGCGGTTAACTTCTAAAAAAAAAAAAAAAAAAACTGTTTCGGATGTACAGAATTGTATAGTAGAATACACATAAACTCCTAACATAGTACACATAATCTAACATAATACATAATACACAATACACATAAACTCTTAACATGATACGCATAAACTCTTAACAGAATACACATAAACACAAGTGTTTAAAAAAAAAAAAAAAAAAAGGGTTGTGTGCGATATAACAATTGTAGAAACTAAGATTGCGCTACAATGTACATGGGCCAAACCACACTAAAAGATTGAATCAATGTGGGACTCTTAACAATAACAATGATGTATTATTAGTAATAAAAACAGATAAATAGCAAATTGTAGTTTCTTCAGAGACAGCTTGAATAGAAAACTTTCATTGTCCCGTTCAAGTGCATTAAATATTAATGGGTCAAAATAATTTCTTCACTTGGAAAATTGTTTGTTAGCTTCGAGAGTTCTCACTTATTTCTACTCTGTATTTTGTCAAAAATCTGTTGGAGATTAAAGAATTTTCTGCATATAAGCTGAAGACTACTTATTCAATAGTGCGTGTTATGCATCTCACATTGGTTCCTTAGGATTTACCCAGCCAGTTCATAAGGCATGAGTCAAACCTCCACTCTTGAGCTAATTTTGTGAAGGAGTTAGGGTCCTACCGATCTATGAGTTGAAATTTGAAAATGATCCCCCTTTTGTTGGATCCACTACATAGTGCTATAATGGGTTCACATTAGTATGATATTAGAACCACATCTCAACAGATCGGAATACCTAAACAGTTCATAAGGCATGAGTCAAACATCCACTCTTGAGCTAACTTTGTTCTTGGGTCGGCTATTAATGCCCTGGTGGTTTGGTTTCCTTAGGGTGAACTGTAAATGCACAAATGTTGTATTGAATCTGAAGAGTTTAAACTGAATCCAAACAATCAACTAGTCTAACCCATGTACTTATAAACCCATATGTTCTCTGTTATATTTTTAATGTGGGACTCTTAACAGATGTTATCTGCAATCTTTTTGTTTAGGTCCTATATTCTTCAAGGTTGACTAACTATTGTGTATCAAGGACACAATTGAGAATTTGAGAGTCATCAACCGAGAACCAAGCCATAACCCTGCACCCTTCAATTACTACTACTAAGAAATCTAAAAGCAAAGCTTTAGCCATAAAACATGCATTTCAAAAGGCATGTGCTTGTGGCCCTTGTATTGACAACTCAATAAAACAATGTGCATTAACATTATGATAAGAAACATCTATGCAAGATGTCTCCTCATATGTTACACATGAAAGGTTGAACCAATGACGAGGCTGATAATTGTATGGAGTTTGAAGAGTCTAGAGAAATAGATATGCACAACCTTACTTCTATTTTCACAAATTACAGTAAATTATGGAAAAATTGGATGCATAAATCATGTAACCTGATCCATAAACTACCAAAGTATCAGGCATTATCCACATATCCACAAACAGACAGCACAAAGTAACACATATAACATTCATATCCACCTTAAGTCAAAGGTTTACTTCAGGAAACAACAGACACATTAAGATAATATATATTATAATAAGTGAACAAACCTCGTTATATGTGGTTCTTCCTTTGCTTTCCACTTTCTCACATACTAGATAAAGGCAAAAAGGAAATGTTAATCATTTTAAAACTGTTAAGCAGTAATCAAAATTAGTTGCATTGATGCAAACGTAAATAGTTCTCTAGAAAATTATTACAGAAACAAATGTAGAGCAAACAGCAATGAAAAGCAACAAAACAAAATGAATAAGAAATACCTTTCATGCTAAACTGCCGCAGTCCTCTACCACTCTTATCGCCTCCCACTGCTCGCTGGCCTCTTTTCTTCTTCCTGCTAATGCGAGGAGCTATGGTCAGTCATGGCCACAATCAAGTCACCATAAACATGAATCCAGGAAAGGACAATTCGAAAAACAATTCACATTTAAGAAAGTAACCCAAGCTCCCCATTTAACCAGCAAAGTTAAATAGAAGATGTGTTTCAGCATGTAATATTATGATTTATGAAGCAACAAATGCGTTATACATCACCAAATTTTCAAGTTGAATCCAAAATCTTTCACATGCCACAAAGACAAATCCTATGAAAACATATACTTGTGTCATCATATTGTACAGACTGCACTAACATTTTTCATAGACACAATTCGCTAACTGGCACATAATTTATCTGTCCCCTTGTCTTCACACACATCCTAGATTGGCAAGTCCACTGTCAATAACTCAATGCTCCTTTTTTTTTTGTCGGACCACGGGGTGTCCTGCGCAGACCCTAACTGCAGGAGGCACCTTTAAAGCCCGTACCATACTTAGACTAATAACGTTCGCACCGGGCTGCCCAATTAAGGGGCAAAGTGCTGGCCACATTGGTTTTTCCTTAGGTTATCAGTAATCTAAACAAATAATGCAATGCAATAAAATAAATCAATAAATCCAAATAAAAACAATCTACAAAGTCCAACACTTTGAACTAACCACACAAGAAATTCAACATCCAACAAATTCCTGGAAAATAATAATAATAATAATAATAATAATAATAATAATAATAATAATAAGCTAAACGGGGAGTCAAAGTGCTGACCCAGCAGCACTGCGTTGAGATCCGGCATCATCACCATGAATGTCAAGGCTATCTAGCCTAGCAAAAGTGGTCTCACTGGCTGGAGTCGCCATGGCAGCCTCACTCCGGCTTGACGGCGACCCAACACTGCCGCTGGTGGACACAGATTGAGCCGAAAACGTGGTGCCCCATGACCTGGTAACGCCGCTGTTGCCTCCAATCGACGGGTTTTTCTCCCCATCTTCCCGGTTATTCACCATCCCCGCCAAAAATTCATCAAAAACCCTGCTCGATTTTCAGTCTCCCAGCTTGAATTAAGCCATAAACTCACAACACCAACGCAAAAATCCCAGCTAAAATCAACAGATTTCTCGAATTTTGAGACACTCCCAGAATTTCTTAAATTAAAAAAAAAAAAAAATCAACGAAAATTGGGGAGCTGTCAGTTAAAAGAGCCTACTTCTTGAGTGGGAAAAAAATGAACAAAAACAGAAATGGGGTCTGCAGGGGAAACGATGAAACATAGGGATTTAAATTGCACAGAGGACAGAGGTTTAGCGGGACATTTGTTCTTAAATATGCTACACGACGGTGGGTGTGGTTTCTATATTCTCTTGTCTCTTTCCTTCCCCAACAGATATATGGCGGGCCCTGCTTTCGCTGCTTCCTAAATTAAGATCGCAGACCGTTTGCTTCGCCGTCACAGGAGTCGGTGAGCACATCACCTATGCAATAGCTTGGCATTTAGTTGAGATGGAACACATGCTTCAAAGATCATGGGTTCGAATCTCTATGTCAACACATAAGCGACTACAATCCCGTGTTGCTTGGAACTCACCGCACAGGTAAGTACAAAAAGTCATTTAAGACTAACTTAAGTAAAACCACCATAGTTGATGACTATATTGAATATTAACTCATAATTAAGTAGTAGGTTGTAGTCAACAAAGTTTAATAAGATGAAAATTTTAGTACTACAATTACAATGGTCTATTGTTTTTCAAGGTTCGAATCTGTTACCTCTTAGTTAGTTAGGAAGTCACATAAATATAATTGAGTTACAAATTACTTGGTTTGTTCTTATTCATATCAAAATAACTAGGATTGTCATATCATTTATTTTTCTTTATCGTCATGATGTATGGTGGTGACTTATTTACTTTTTTATATTATTGAGTAAGTTAATATATAAGTTAATTCCAGCAATAGTCCTCCGACTATAGTGATTTTCCAAAATTAGTCCTCGATTTTTAATTTGAACACTTTAAGTCCCTTGACTTTCAATTTATTTCCAATTGAGGTCCTTTCATTAGAATACGGTTCATTAGACTTTAAATGAAGGGGTAAACTCGTCCTTTCACATGCCTATGTATTATTCTTCGTATTTCTCCCTTCGTATTTCGCTGTTATACCTTGTAAACATCTCAATAATAGAGGAACGCACACACGAGTAGTCAACAAATGGGAAACGACGAGGAACATTTTAGGGTTTCGACTAAGATTATCTTCATATATATCGCGTATACAATGGAGAAATATTAAGAATAATACATAGGCAGGTGAAATGATGAGTTTACCCCTTCATTTAAAATTCAATTAACCGCATTCTGACGAAAGAACCTCAATTGAAAAGAAATTGAAAGTCAAGAGACGTAAAGTGTCCAAATTAAAAGTCAATGACTAATTTTAAAAAATCAATATAGTCGGAGGACCATTGCTGGAATTAACTTTGTCAACATAATTAGCTAGTACTAGATTATAATTTACATATCTACTTTAACAAATAAGTCATCATTATGCATGACTTCTTCTTCCATGTTTGATGATAAAGAATCATGGTCGCTTAATTCTTCAAGCATTTTCATGATTCATTCGTCAAAATCTAATGTTGCAGAATGTGTTAGGCGCTTAATTAACACCTAAAGCGGCTGAGTAATACAAGTATATCATTTGATTTTCACTTTTCCACTTAGGATTGAGAGTTGTTAGACTGTTATAATTTCCTAAACTAATCAACTGCAAAACAAATCGCTCGATCGAGTTAGTCGCCTAGGGCACCTAGTCGGTCTGCTAGTCGGCCAGCCAATTAAAAGTCGCCTAGTGCTGAAATTGCATTGACCTAACGACGCCTATGCTAATTGTTACAACATTGTCAAAATCATAAGCTTTTAATCTTGCAATAACTTGTTTTTTCTTGGTAGTAAATATTTATGCTTTTTTAGCAAGTAGATATGGTAATATGTTCTTGTTGATGAAGTCATGAAGGTCAATAAAAAATTTATTAGAATCAAAGACAATACTAGAGTTTATAGTTGAACCAAAACCTTTTTTTTTAATTTTTAAACCAGCTTTGGCTATGCTCCAAAATCTGTAGACCTTTTTTTACCTCTTCATTATTTTAATATCAACAATGGTGTCAATATCTATAATCTTTTAACAAGAAATACAATTAAGATATCTTCATTTACTTTTATGTGCAAATAAAATAATGCATTTAGTACTCTTAGTAGAGATTACAGAAATTATATTTATAACCTCACATATTCCAACCAAAACGCATTAGAAATGATACTAACCATGGATCATCATTCAAGATAATATTAGAAATGATACTAACCATGGATCATCATTCAAGATAATATGCTACTTTGAGTCACTGAATAAGATTATGAGAATAATAATGGGGCATTTGATAAGTGGCTCACCCTTTGGAAAATAAAAGTTTCACCCAAATAGAAAACTTTTCTATGGAGAGCTATTAGTTATATCCTTCTCACCACCAACAATCTGCTTATAAAGAGGGTGGAGGTTGAACTAATATGTGCCATGTGTGGAATCATGAATGAGGACACTAAGCACTCATTGGTTTTGTGTGACTATGCAAATTCCATATGGACTCAATATAACCTTTCACTCCTTAATATTATGACAAATATTTTCCACGAATGGTTTAGTGCAATCATGAATGTTCTAGACACTAATGGAATTATTTACGCAGCTGCAATTTTATATCATATATGAAAAGCACGAAATGAAGCTGTTTGGGATGCCTGTCTACCAATGCCGAAGAAAGTGATTGCAACAGCCACTGCCACCATGCATGCATGGCGGAAGGTCCACCACCAAACCCCCGCCCACGAACCAGCCGAACACACTGCCCGAGCCACCAATGTAGCCGCCGAACACCCATCACCGGCTGGACACGTTGGCCACGCCGCTACAGGTCATTCTGTCGAACATGCGTTATCTCCACCGCGACAACCGGGTTACCACGATGCAGCAATAACACCGAGGAAATGTTACGTGGACTCCGGATACCACCATGGGACAAATTCAGCCACGGTCGGAGCTGTCCTCCTGGATGCCGATGGGCGATTTATTTCGGCCTTCAGCGCGCCCCTCGTGAGTTGTTTCTCCTCTCTAATGGCTGAGGCGTTTGCGTGCAAGGAGGCTTTGTCATGGCTACGGGCACGAGGATAACAGTCTATACAACTTTACACGGATTGTCAAACGTTACAGTGTTACCTATCCGCACCAGACATCCCGTCTCGATCATACATTGGTTACGCTATTGATAGTTGTAGAATAAACATGTCCGCTTTTACTTCATGTTCAGTCCTTTTTATTCCTAGATTACAGAATTTATTAGCACATACGTTAGCTGCTACAACTTTCGATCTTACTTCGACTATGTATTTGGACGATGTCCCACCTGACTCTATCTCAGTTTATATATAAATACAACCGCTTAATTGACCTTAAAAAAAAAAAAGAGTTACCAAATAAGATCGAACGGATCTGAAATCACCAAGGCTCGTATAGTCTTTTATAATTTCTTTTAAAATTACTAAAAAAGCATTTATTATTATCTTCATTTATTTTGTGTTTTATTTCTTTTTGGGAGAAAGTATTAACATAAGTTTATAACAAGAGAATCATATATTGTAATTCCATATATTGCCCTTAAATGGACAAATTATATCGTGCACCGCGGTGCATAATCGATTATGCACCGTGCATCAAAACGACGTCGTTTTATTTAATGAAAATAAACAGAATCTGTTTCGTGTCGTTCCGTAAAAAATAACTCTGTTCTTCAGTTTTATCTTGTATACACTGCAGTTTCAGTTCAACATAACTACAGTTTCATTTCGATATAATTACAGTTCCATTCAATATTTATACGCTCAAATATGTGAAAATGTTATTTAATTTTATTTTATATACACTATAGTTTCATTAAAACACAACTACATGATTATTTCGATATAATTACAGTTTCATTGTACAATATACACTCAAATATGTGAAATGTTATTCAGTTTCATTTCACCACAACTACAATATCATTTTGATATAACTGCAGTTTCATTTGATAATATAAAGATATTACACGAGGCACTGTCGATTTAGATACACTACAGTGTCACTTAACACTAACAACGTGATGTTTCTTTACTTAAAAAAACGGCGTCGTTTTGATGCGCGGTGCATAATCGGTTTCCGATATAACAACTGCCTTAAATGTATATACTTCAGTTTTTTGCCCAACCCTGCAGCCCATATGTTTGGTGCTCAGGCAGTAGCCCACTAGCCCAAAACTCCAAATCTGATTGTGCGATTCATCATCATCTGCTCATCGCCTCCTCACCAAGTCTTCACGGCTCAATCGCAGCAACAGACCGGCGACCGCAGAAGCACTCACGGCGACATTAGAGGTTGACGGCAGCGTTGCAGGTGAACGGCTAATTCCGACTATGCCTTTGTTATTTTGCGTCTGAGGTTCTCACCATTTGCATGCTACTTGCTCAGTAAATAGACATATGATGCTTTCTGCCTTCCTCTGTAAATAATGAAAAAAAAAATGATGCTTCTGCCTTCTTCTGTACCTAGAATCTCTCACCTATTTGCTTTCACTTTGTATTGTATCGCTTCTGCAAATAATTTGGAATTCTTAATTTATGAAATAGGGATTAAACTTTCAGTTTTTAGTGATCGGTGTAGAAATCTACTGGACAACAGGTACACTCTGCTCCGGCGACTTTTTTTTTTTTTTTTTTTTTTTTTTTTTTGTTGTTGCTGAATCCTTGATCTATCTGATGGATTACGTGAAATTGGCGTACGTTTGGTCACTGAAAATCATTTTCGATATGTTTAGTGGACTGAAAGTTAAATAGAGTTTACTCTCATGGTTTGTAGCCTCAGAAAATGATGTGAGAAAAAGAAATGAGAATAGGAGGACCTTTTGAGTAATCAAGAGACAATCAGACTTTATAGTCACCTTATAATTTAATTTTAGATAAGTATAGCTGTTTACCAAAAAGAATTAGGTGCATTAGTTTTCAGGTAAACCATAGATTCATATTCTGGAAGATAGATATACTCGATCTGTTATACTTCATGTATGTTACGCCCTATGGGCACTTACATGAACTTACGCAGTTGATAGTTGAAAATTTTAAATGGATGAACAACGTGATATTGCATTTACAGGAAGTTCATAAACAAATCAGGATGCCTCACAGAGCTAGGCCTATGACAGGGCTTCTGGTGTTCGTTGGACTAAATGCTGCTTTGGTCTCTACAATAGAGCCTATCTATGATTTTGTGTGCTTCCTTCCATATTGGGAACGAAGGGTATGCTTCTTATTTCCTACTGAACGCTTCTCCAGCTTTAAGTTGTTCTTGATAGCTCGTTATACATATACATATGTACTTAATGTGGCAAATTATAAAGGAAAACTAGCTACACAAAGTTTCCAATATATCTAGTGCACATCAAATAGTTTGTATTTCATTAAGACCAATCACTGCTTGATTTGGGAATGGTCCTGTAACATTCCCTCTATCATATTCAATATACAGTGTTCCTTCAATCCTTTGATATACCTCATTGCAGGAACCTTCTCGGTTCTCGAGAAATCAATGTTCATTTGCTTTTGCTACATGATGCATGCATTTGCAGGAAGATCTTTAACAAGCCTTGGATCTTTAAAATTTCGTTATTTGAGTTGATCTGTCTGTCTTTCTCAGAGAGAGCGTCGACACAAGGAACATGAAGCTGCATTGGCAAAAGGTTCTGGCTCAACGTAACTGTTATAATGATGCCAGACTTCACCGACAGGCTCTCGAATTCAGCTGTCATTGTCTTTGTGATACCGTCTTTTCTGCTACTCAGAGGGTCCAGAGTCCGGTTACAAAACCTAAGGATGATGAGAAACACTGACAGAAGAAACCATCTGAAAACACAAATGCTGAAAGTTGGAGAGTTACCTATTTATGTGCTTCATATTCACTATATGTGGCTTCTGGGTACATCAAAATATATAGATATTTGTACTCAAACAATTTGTTTTAGAAGGTAATAGGTTTTAGAAGTGTCTTTTATTAACTGCCTTTGATAGTTTCAAGTGAATGTAGTGCAGAACTAAAGCTATTCTTTTCCAATAAAAGAAATCATACACTTCTATTTGCATCTTAGGCAATTGATAATTTGAAAGCTAAGAAATTATATTATTAGGGAAAATGAAGATTTAAACAATAACAGTCTAATTGAATATTAATTCCATTGTCAGGCTGAAAAATAATAAGTTGTTGGATATAATTAATATAAAGACTAAAATATCTCAACATATTACAAATATGTGAGATTAATATAAAAATCATTTTGTATATTTTTTCATAAAATGTGTGAAAATAAATACCTAACGAGGCCAAGAAAAAAAGAAAAAGAGGAACTCATTTTTCATTGTAATAATTCTCCATAAAAAAATATGTTTTTTTTTTGTCCCAAAAATAAAATAAAATATCCCAATAACTTATTTCCCAAACTAAACATCTACGCGTCAAATGTGCAAATTTTTATATATTATTAACGATGAAAATTGGTTTAAAAGATTTTTATATTGAGATAGAAAGTTCCAAATCATTAAAATATTTTGTTTGATAAATTAATAAAATTTTAACGTATAAACAATATTAATAATTAATATTATATAAAATTATTAATAGGAATGAACATCAAAAGCATTGATTACATAATACTACAGTGTTAAAAATATTATTTTACTCCGTACTTCTTAAAAAAAACATTGTTTTATTATCATTTTCATTTTGTTAATAAATTATGAAGGTCGGGTTTATATGAAATTGGGCCCTCCGAATTGGATTGGATTGTAGGAGTAGGGTTTGGAATTTAGAGGGAAAAATTAGATTGAAATTATTTTTTCTGAACTTCTGTCATAAGCAAAATTTGTTGTCTTCCAACCATACGTATTACCGATTTACTGGCCGTGAATTAGGAGCTTGGATTGAATGAATGGCTGTGCTGAAAGCTTCTCACCCTCCTCTGCTTAGACACTCTATGCGGCTCATGGCGTATGGCGCTTTTCTCACTCACTCTCGCGCTAGCCCTTCCTTCCTCTCTTCCTCTTTCTCTGTTTCCCGCCCGTCACTTCTTTTCTGCAACTCCAGGTATATATATATATGTTTACTTTTTGCCGCTTAAGTTCGTTTCTGTTATTTGTTGCTCAAGTCTGGGTTGTGGGTAGTGTTGCATGATTTGGAGTAGTCAAGTGGCCCATGGGAGATATAGTTTTTGAAAACTTTTGCGGAGCTCTACTTCTACGGGTTAGAGTAGGCGGATGAAAACTGCTTTCTTTTCGTATAGAAAAACTTGGGAATAACTAAATAAGAGCATTTTTTAAAAATTTAATTTAATATCAGGGGCAGTGTTTTGATTGTTTGTAGAATATTGTGCTACTGTTTCAGGACAATTGTTAGGTTGAGGAGGCTTCCAAACAGGGATTTTAGTAGAAATGTTCTATGCACTAAATCTTTTATGTCATCAAGCATTGCTATGGAAGCTCTTCAAGAAAGACATGGCTCAAAAGATTATGGTTCTGAACAAATTCAGGTGAGCACTGGTTTCTGTTTGTAAAACTTTTTTATTTTTCATATCTTCTGGTGTTATGCTTTGTTGCATTTGTACGTGGAAATTCATATGAATAAATCATTGGGTGTTAGGATGTGGACAGTGTTAAGTTCAATATAAGCAGCAAATGGATTTAATGTATGCTTTATCACTTATTTTGGGAATCTTTGGAATGGTCACTGATTGAGATAGTATGCTTTGTCAAAAACTGGATGGGATTTGTATTCAGCAGGTGTGTGGTGATTATGGTGGAGAAACAGATTGCTAAGATATTTATAAGGACAATGCTTCAGCTCTTAGGATAGTCTTAGAGATTGTTTTTGTGCTGTAAGCAAACTGAAAAATTCATGTTTATGTTTTTTTACTAAATTCTGAGTAAAATACTGGATACACAATTTCTCCTATTCATAGCTCTAATGAAGAGAGTTGTGTTCTGCCGTAACATTTTGCCCTTTTCTGAAGGAGCCTAAAATGGGAGAAATTGTAAAATGAAGGGTCTCTATATATTGCTAGACGACTAATGTTTTTTAAGTAGGTAAGTTAGTTCATCATTGTTTAAAATTACGCCGCCTTGCTCTTTTTGGAGAATGGTGTAAATCAGTGCTGTTGTCATATCAATATTACAGAATCTGATTTCCTCTTAGGTGTTGCAAGGTTTAGATCCTGTGAGAAAAAGGCCTGGAATGTATATTGGAAGCACTGGTCCTCGTGGGCTGCATCATCTGGTATCCTATACATTGTACATTGGCTTTATTCATTCGTCTGAATTTACCTGTAAATTAAATGTAATAATAAGTTTTCATTTACTACTTCAGGTATATGAAATCTTGGATAATGCTGTAGATGAGGCCCAAGCAGGATTTGCTTCGAGAATAGATGTTGTCCTGCATGCAGACAATTCAGTGAGCATCACTGATAATGGGCGTGGGGTATGATCTGCTTATTTTCCATAGAGACAAATGTTCTAACTTCTTGGCCTTATTGATAACACACTGCTACAAGTTTACTATTAAACATGACACAGGAAAAAATCCACAAAAAGCATAATGTGCAAATGATTATTTGTATACAACTAAGAAAAGGAATTAGGCCTTTTCATAAGGAAAAGGTGCTATCAATAAGTTCCAAGTTGTGTTGAAGCTCAATTCTTAAAGGCTCAGTTGAGATTGAGCAGAACCAGGAAAATATCCAGCTTCACTTACACACCTACTCATAGGCTTAGTGGGGGTTTCTTGAAAAAAATGTTGGTACTAAACCACTAATATTCTAACAAAAAGTTTGTTTTCTTTTTTAGTATGAATCCAGAATAAGTTGAGTCTGGTCTGGATTATATGTTTTTGTTTCAACTTGATGCTGCCAATAGGATAATTAATCGACTGGGGTTGTTATTGCTTATAGCTGAGTGGATAAAATGATATATATCTACTTTTTCATTACAATTGTGAATTATAGCTGGTCTTTGTTCTTATTGTTTCTCTCATATCCTCACATGTTTCGTTTTTCTTTCCAGATTCCAACTGATTTGCATCCAGTGACAAAAAAGTCTGCTTTAGAGACTGTCTTGACGGTACATTCCCACTAATTACAAGTTTGTTCTTTAGAATTACTAATGCAGTCTGTAGAGTTTAAGTAAATTGTGGGTTTTATTGCAGTTGATGCTGGAAGGCTGGAATGCCATAATTAATTTAGTAAAATAGAAAAGTTTTTTTTTTTTTTTTTGAAATACATATTTGGCCATGTTTTCCAATTCTTGCTTGAACAATATTTAAAACTGTTGATGATTACCAATATATACATGTCTATGTAGTTAATATTATAGTTTGAAAACTGATTACACGTATTGGTTCTGGAATGGTGCAGGTTCTGCATGCGGGTGGCAAGTTTGGAGGCTCAAGTAGCGGCTATACTGTCTCAGGTGGATTGCATGGTGTTGGTCTTTCAGTTGTAAACGCGTTGTCAGAGGTACTTATCTAGTTATCTATTATAAATTTATAATAAATTGCTCCTGTTGCTCATATCTGAATATTTTTCATCCTGAATATTCAACTCACCATCACAGTTTTCAAGTTTGGGTGCTTTTGATTGCTTCTATTTGTTGCTCCTTTAATGAAGGGTTTCATTTTCCTCTGCGGCTCTGCCTATCCTTCAAGAGTCATCATGGTTAAATGGATCTCATTTGTCTATAACGTGGGGATGGCTTAGATAATTTCAAGTGTTTATATGTTTGAACTTTGAACATAATTTTGCACCTTCAGGTCATTAAAATGATGCCAAAATTTTTGGAGTCATGCCAAAGTATGTATCGAAATATTCAATGATGTGATTTACCTGTGATAAATCTAACTTTATGCTTAGATTGTGCACATAAAGGTACCAAACGAGTGAAGAATTCTGAATTATTGACAGTTTATATTTTCATGCTTCTAGAACCTGAATAGAAACTATCTTGAAATCGATGGCTAAAAAATATGTTAGGATGGTGGTGAACTAAAAAGCACTTATCTAATGTTGGAAAGGAAGTAGTGTAGAATTGAAGGAAATGATTTGGTGAAAACTAATTACTTTTATTTAATAGCAGGAAGCGCTTTTGTTTCTTCTGTGAAAAGCTACACAATGATAAAAGTGAAAAAAATTGTTAGAAAGTTTCCCTGGTGGCAAAAGTGTTATATGGTTGTTCACATTCATCTTCTGAATTTCCCTTTAAGAGTTTGAGCTAAATTTGTCACTTTTTTTCTCTTTCGACTTCATGACTTCTACACATTTTCCTTTTATACCTTTCTCAATATTAGTCCCCCTATGGTGGTTTTGGGTGTTCTCACGCTTATTCACATTCCTTTCATGATTTTGAGTACAAGCTAAATTTATTGCTTGTTTTTCTTTCTCAATTTCATGACTTCTAGGCGTTTTCCTTATATACCTTTCTCAATATTAGTTTCTTCTTTGGTGGTTTGGGTGTCTCAATATTATATTCTTTGACCTATAGGCTTTTTTAGGGGCCAAAATGAATGACGATGTATGAATTTTTTAAGCTTGATAATTGTAATTTTAGAAGAGAGGAGAGAAAAGGTTTAAATTGGTATGTTGCCTCTCCTTGATCAAAACATAGTTGCTTTGGGTTAAATGCTACCTGTTCCTGCTAAATTGGATAGAAAGTGGCATTTAATCAAGCTGTAGACTTCTTGTTGACTTAGTTACTAGGCCAGTCTAGCTATATTTTTTCTCTGCTTATTTTATTCCTCAATAGGTTCCAGACCTATTACTTAATGGAGTATTTCATCTACTCACAGGAGCTGGAAGTAACTGTCTGGCGTGATGGCAAGGAACACAAACAAAAATATTCACGTGGGAAGCCTACAACAAGTTTAATCTGTCACGAGTTATTAGCTGGGCAGAGGGAAAGGCAAGGGACATCCATACGATTTTGGCCTGATAAAGAAGGTTATTGTTTTCTTCTTTTGTTTATTTTTGGGGGGATGGCATTTGAAATTTGGGGGTTTTAAATTTTTGCTTTCACTTCATCTCATAGGGTTTAGTACAAGTTTATTCTGTTGCGCGTACACACACACAATTTTTATTTTTTGGGTTCTTATCATGGGTTGCACCCTAATTATGTGCTCAATAAAAAAAAATTAGAGTGTTGAAGTGTTTCTTTTCTTCAAAGCTCTACATTTTTGCAGCTTTGAATTCTCATCTTGTTTCCAATTTGTTTGATTGTAGGGCTTGAGCCTATTGCCATGTTTCTCTAACTTAACTAGTTAACTGTTTATGTAGTGTTCACAACTGAAATAGAGTTTGACTACAGCACTCTAGCTGGACGGATTAGGGAGCTTGCTTTTCTTAACCCTGAGGTATTACTGTGGACGCATTTTCTCCCTTTTGTATTTCTTTTTCTAACCTCAAGCTGTGGTCAAGTAAAATTTATTACATTGCTGGACTATGCATTTTCCTGCAATATGAATCTATGCTAAGTCATTAGCTTATTAAGTTATTATACCTGAAAAATAAGTTCACATGCTGATATTTACTTTTATTTGTTATTACTTGGTGTTTCTTCTGTTTTGCAGCTAACTATTGTGCTAACGAAAGAGGACATGGACACAGAGAAGAGCCAATGCAATGAGTACTGCTATGCTGGAGGTTTGGTTGAGTATGTGAAATGGCTGAATACTGATAAGGTATGCTAATTTGCTACCATTTTCTTCCGCCATTGTGCATTATTTCTTCTTTTTTTCAAGGGTACTGTTTTACTCTTTGCATCCTACTTTATTTATGTATTCTTTGTTATGGGCCTCTGACTCTTGCACTTTCTACATTAGGATGATCTTGTAATCTTTGTTTACACAAATGTTTTTATTTTTATTTTTTATTTTTATTTTTATGAGGTGTGAATCTGTACATTTCATATTTGCTTATCTATGAGGAGAGAGTAAAAGAGAGTGGGATGTTGATGGTAGTCATGGTACTAATGAAGAGTCTGGTAATTGTTTTCTGTTTCTTATTAATTTGTGTTGAATTGATGGCCTGTGATTGATGGATTCAAACTGATGAGATTAGTGCCTCCAAAGAAGCCTCTCATATTGACCGAGTTATACATCAAAATAACAAATTTCTTTAAGTTTCAGTGACCAAAAATAAACTCCTTGTCATCTAATTGAGAGCAATTGCTTATTTGCTTGTAATGCCTGTGCTTTCAACTGTAGCTACACACACTAAACAATATATACAATACAATAGATGAATAGAATAATAATTTCAAATTGATGAAAGAGTTTATGTTAGTGCGATTGTCAACTGTTGATAGAAAAGTTATTCTTAATATGCATTACATTTTAAAGCTTACTGTCATCTAATGCTTGGTTGATGTGAATCATTTATCTGCTGAAAGTTTGTGTTTATCTTTCCAAACTTTGGTAATGACTGACAGATCTCTGGTTCAGAAACCTCTGCATGATGTGGTGGCATTCAAACGAGAAGCAGATGGAATTGTAATTGATGTAGCTCTTCAGTGGTATAAATTTGAACTTTTTATTTCACAATGTCATTTTGTATTTTTTTACCAGAACAAATATAAAAGATATTGTAAAACAATATACAAATCTTAATTGTGCTATTATTCACTTCTGAGATTTTAAAATAGTACTGAGTCTGTTTCATGTTAAAAATTGACAGTTACTTTTTCACTTGTCTATTTAGGTGTTCAGATGCGTATTCAGATACAGTGCTAGGATATGCTAACAGCATACGAACAATTGATGGTGGCACTCATATAGATGGTCTGAAGGCTTCATTGACAAGAACCGTCAACAATCTTGGGAAAAAGTCAAAGATAATTAAGGTAAATAGTATATTCTCTGTTATGTGCTTTTAAGTGACACATACAAAACTGAATCTCATTCAATCTTATTTTGGCTAAAAGTGAGAATTTAGCTATATTGTAGTCAATCATATTCCTAGTTTTAAGTATGAATGCATTTATCTGAAAATTCTAGTACAGTGGATGAGCTCAGATCCTAATTTTATTTTGACAACAAAGCCATGGTGCAACAATTATTATGCTCTTACCCACATGTTATACTGTAATCATATTTCATGTCTTGAATAATACTCTAAAAATGAGTTTCATATGATCATATCATTATCTGTTTTCCAAGACTCGAGTAAATTACTTAATTTGATTTTCTGAGCTTGTTTTATATAAACAGCTGAATAAAACGCTTTTCTGAAGTGTTCTGATGATGCATTTTATGAATGGGCACAGTTGGGTTTAAATGTCTTGATCTTCTTTTTCCAGGAAAAGGATATTAGCTTAAGTGGTGAGCATGTGAGAGAGGGACTGAGTTGTGTGATCTCAGTCAAAGTACCGAATCCTGAATTTGAAGGACAGACTAAGGTAAAAACCAGACAAATGTTTTATCTAGGAATTAAATACCTTGAGATTTTTGGCGCAGCAATGCACCTTGACCAAGATTGGGAGGTTTGTCCTGCAAATAGTTTATGGTTCCAATTTAATTAATTACTTTGTGTTTTCTATTTGAAGACGAGGTTGGGAAATCCTGAGGTGCGAAAGGTTGTTGAGCAATCTATTAATGAGTATCTTTCTGAATTCTTGGAGTTGCATCCAAATGTGCTTGATTCAATTCTTTCCAAGTCTCTTAATGCTCTAAAGGTACCTTAACTTTTAAAGACTTTCCACCTTGTTCAGTTTTGGGCATATCATTGATTTAGATTCTTGCTTGAAAATGTTGCTTGCTCATCTGCATGTCTTTTACATGTTTTGCCTATTTTGTTCATTTAGGCAGCCCTTGCAGCTAAGAGGGCTAGGGAGTTGGTGAGACAAAAGGGTGTCTTAAGATCATCATCTCTTCCCGGGAAGCTTGCTGATTGTTCGTCAACAAATCCAAAGGAATCTGGTACGTGTTGTTACATCTTTTAAGAAAAGTCAATCATGAAACTAAAGGAATGGATTTTGGTTTTACATGAACTTTTCCATCCATCATATTCACCCATATCATATTAAACATTAGATTGTATGTGGTCAGTGGTCTTAAGGTCATTGCATTTCAGTTCCATCAGAATGATACACTTTATGGAAATTATGAATGAGTAATAACAATGCTGAAGTAATTGGCCATTTTCCTAATTGCAATCAGTAGTTCACATTAGATGACCTTCAGAGTGGGAGTTTGAATTTCCAGACTTTGGTTAACTAAATTGCTTTATTTGGCCATGATTGTATTTGAAGTTTTCTAAGCAGCAGCTAAATTATATGAATTTAAGGTTTGTATCATGTAATGTTCTAATTTCTTTTGTAGTATCTATCAATGAAATAGACACAAAAAAAAGAGTAAATAAATAAATAAAGAGATCATATTCATCTGAAATTTTGTTTGTGACTTTTTGCATCTAAATCAAAGATCACCTTAACTTTGGTATTGCGTTTCTGAAATAGTAGGATGTTCAATCATTAACTGTAGAAATATGAAGCAAGTATGTCACTACTTTTGTTTATTGTGTAGGTCACTAAATTGTGTTTGCATTAGAGTATTGCTTGATGTAATCAATTATCAAAATGCTCTTTGCAAAATTGTAGTCTGAGTCATTTTCAACACCAATTGGCATTTTTGATTTAATAGCTTTTCTTTTAGTATTAGATGTACACAATATTTTCACATGATCATGGTTATTAAAATTGTTTCTTTCTGTCTATTATTTGCAGAGATATTTATTGTGGAGGGGGATTCAGCTGGTGGAAGTGCTAAACAAGGCCGTGATCGGTGGTTTCAGGTGACAGTTTTATCTGTTTATCGCCCAGGGATTGGTGCCCAAAGTGACAAATTTGGCTAGAATGGTTCTCATGTAAATTTTTTTTTTTCTTTTCAAAATATCCAAACTCCAGCAACCGGCATATCAACTCATTGCTTTGTGCAGGCCATTCTTCCTTTACGGGGTAAAATTTTGAATGTTGAAAGAAGGGATGAAGCTGCTATGTACAAAAATGAAGAGATCCAGAATCTCATTCTTGGTCTAGGACTTGGGGTGAAGGTAACCTGTCTTTTTTTTTTTTTTTGGTGGGGGGTATGTAATTCCAGTTTTTCTAGTAGAACTTGATTTGTTTAATTCAATCTTCTCATTTCAGGGAGAGGATTTTAAAAAGGAGGCTCTGCGTTATCATAAAATTATAATTTTGACAGATGCTGATGTGGATGGTGCTCATATTCGCACACTATTATTGACGTTTTTCTATAGATATCAGGTAGGTCCCGTCCATTGCGTCTAGTAATCCAAAGACAAATGATTTATAAGAAACGTAAATATGCTTGAAGGACTGTAAATGATTCTGCTCTCACACTTATTTTTTATTGTTCACAGAGGGCTTTGTTTGACGAAGGGTGCATTTATGTGGGTGTTCCACCTCTGTACAAGGTTTGATCTCAAAACAAAAAACGCCTGATATGATTAAGGAAATATCTTTATTATTAGAATTGATTTATTATCCTTACTATTAGAATTGATTTATTTCCTATAGAGATAGGAAATAATTATGGTAAGGAGCTTTAATGATTCTCCTTTCCTTTTTATGTTTTAGTTAGTCTTCCTTTCCTTTTTATTTTTTACTAGTTTTTGTAACCCTCTTATATAAAGGGGATTCTCATTCTAATAAAATACCAAGCAAGAATGAAGTTAAGTTAAAATCAAGAGGTGGGAAAACTCTCAAAACGTTCCTATTATCTTTGTTCCTTAAGTTTATCTCTCAACATAAACATCCCCAATAACCCTAATCGCCCTTTGACGCGTGCTTTCGCCCGAGAACATAACAACGCCCTTGTATGTCTTGAAGTTTACCCGTTAGTCATTTTTCCTTGTTCTTGATTTGTTCAGGTTGAGCGGGGAAAACATGCATACTATTGCTATGATGATGCAGAGCTTAAAAAGCTCCGGAGTTCGTTTCCCTCAAATGCTTCATATAACATCCAGAGATTTAAAGGTGAGATTGCACTTTCCGGAATTCTAGAAATCCAAATAGGAGGATTTCACTTGCTCTCAGTTTTATGAAAATATATCCATGAATAAAATGGCCAGTTTATTCCAGCATGTATGTGGGCCATATTATTTAAGAAATGAATTTGAAATATTTCTAGGTATAAAGTGCAAAAAATGTGATATCAATTATTGCCAGCTAGCTATTGTTCTTAATTTCTGATATGGCTTCCATTCTTTATGGACATGTATGGAAGCTGTCTTGCTAAATTATTGTTGTTTGTCTTAACAAAATAAAATGCAGGATTAGGTGAGATGATGCCTGCTCAGTTGTGGGAAACAACCTTAAACCCAAAGACTAGGCTTTTAAAGCAACTAGTGGTCGAAGATGCAGCTCAGGCAAACTTTGTTTTCTCCTCGTTAATGGGTAAACGGGTAAGTCAAGCCATACTCTATCTTGGATTTGATCTGTCTATCCGTTCTGAGATAGCGGTCCTGTTTGGTAACATAATTAGCTTGTCAGTCAATTTTGGCTTATTTGATCACTATTAGCCGTTTGACTTGGTTAAACATTCAATATAAGTGTTTGGTTAATTAGCTTTTTGTAATAGCTTATTGCTCCAAAATGTTAAAATTCAAAAAGCTACTTAAAGCATAAAGCAGCTTTTTGAGAAAGTCATTTTGATGTAATCAGCTATCGGCTAACAACTAATTTACCAAACATCTTTCTACAATCAGTTAATGCTATCAACTACTCAAACCCACTAACCCAATAAGCTAACAGCTATTTACCAATCACCCCTATCATCTTTTGCGTAATGAAATGCAAATCTTTATGCACTAACATCTTATTAGTTACTATTAATTAATTGCGTTCCAGTTTTTAGTACACGGTTTTCTTTCTATCAATAAAATCATGACACGTGATGAAAGTTTTACTCTACTAGAGTCCATTTATCATTTTCCTTTGAAATATAAGACAGTTGATATAATGGCATGTGTGTTTTCTTTATTTAGTGATCCTAATACATTTACAATCTCCTTTGTTGGTGAAACAGGTGGATGATAGGAAGGAAATGATAAAACATTCTGCAAGCAAAATCAACTTTGACAAGCTTGATATTTAGACTTATTAGCAAAAACACGAACCATTCTCGAAGAAATGATCAACACTCCTTGTTTGATGTAGAGGCCTATGAGGAATCTTTTAATTCCCTCGAGATTACATTATTCTATTTTTGAAAAATATTAAGTTCTCATTTTCTATTGTAAAATAGTAGTGTATTTTGACTTAGTTATTTCCTATTTTATAAATTATAAAAAATATTTGTCTAATATTTATTATTATATTTTCTTTATATATAAAAATACACATGCGAAAAATGTGAAATACAATAGTATATTTTGAGCCTTTAGAGCAAGATAGACTGGTAGGGTGGTAGGGCTTTGATTTCTACCACGAATATTGGGGGTTTGCGTATAGGTTGGACTGTTGTGCGCAGAAATGTACAATTTAGTGTTGAGTTTCAAAGTTAGATTTGTTTGATTTGCCTTCTCATGAACTTAGGTTGTAGTTAAATACTTTAATTTATTAAAATTGGCTAAATAAGTCTATTAGTAATAACTAATAAAATTACAATGACGTGATATGATAATTGTCGTAGACCGTTGTTAATCTTTGTTGATTGCAACAAACCGTTGTGGAGTCGTCATTGATAACAAGGTTTTCCCATTCAAAGAAAAATGTGACCAAATAATTTTTTTTTTTCAAGCAAAATCAACTTTGACAAGCTTGATATTAAGACCTGGCAAAAACATAAACCATTTTTCTCCTCGTTCATTTTACTACAGGCCTATGAGGAATCTTTTAATTCCCTTGATTCCATTCTATTTTTTAAAAATATTTAAAATTCATTTTCTATTGTAAAATAGTAAATAGCAATTTGTGTTTTGCCATCAAGCTAATAATAGAAAGGGGAAATGCATTTTAATAACTCGATTGTTTTTTGCTAGTTGTTTTAGTCTTAACTTTCTATCATTACAATAAACGCCATAACTTTTCATAAAAGTTGAAATTTTAATCTCGGAAGGAATAACACCCTATTAAACTCAATTAAAATTTTTACTTTGTATATTAATATTTTAAAAGTTTATTATCTTTATTCTTTATAATCTTTTTAATTTTATATTTTATATACAAAATAAAGAATTAACAACCTTCTTTGCTTATTTTACAAGCGTAAGAAGTTGAGGACTAAAACGTTTAAGAAGGAACAATTATGGAACTAAAAATATATTTTTCCCTCCTAGAAATGAGATATTATTGAGATTCTTTACTAACCCATATTTAGTCTCAATTCTCATCTCCCTAATCTAGAATATTTTGGTTGAATATAAAACAATTTATTATGTGTGGAAATGGGTCAAATGACACTTGACAAAAATATGCACTTAATAAAATCATGCTTTGATGATACCATAGAGTTTCACCCTCAACTTTTGTAGTTTCTAGGCAGTAAAATTATGTGATCAGATTCTTGCAGGAAAAACATGAAACATATTAAACATCTCAAGTCCAAACACTGCAAAATCATAATAACAGTTCTCAATAAACCTACATGTAAATGTAAATGATCAATCCAATATCTCTGACACTGCTGTCTTTCTGAATCCATCAACCTGAGCCAACATGCCAGCCAATGCTTTATTTGGGAATATGTTATCAGCCTTCAATCTCTCACTCATCCCATAAGCAGGAAGCTTGGCATTTATATAGGCCTGAATGAGTGTTTGGAACTGTTTAAGACGAGATGTGTAGCCGACCTGTCTCATTCTGTGGAATATCTTCTCAGAATTATGTATGTCGCCTCTCTTCGCGTATTCCTCCATGATAGTAATATAAGATCTCAACAATGGCTTTCTTTGGCCCTTCTCTCCAGCCTTTTTCAATATAGAATCGGCTTTTTCCACTTCTCCAGCGTTGCAATAAAGCTTAACAACTGCATCCCAAGTTAGTGGCCCAACGGGGAAATCACTTTCTCCCATCTGCTTCACAAGCTCCTTTCCTTTGACCAACATCTTATTATCTGCATAAGCACTCAATAAAGCATAATAACCTTTTGAGACGGGATTTTTCGCCTTTTTGTATTTGTTTACCAATATATCAAAGACATCTTCTGCCTCCTCAATTTTCTTCAAACTTCCCCAGGCTTGAATGCCGGCCACACACTCATCTACCTTTGGATTGGATTTGCAAACTTGCCAGAGTCTGCTGACGTCCTCAGCCATGCCAAGGGAAGCATAGAGTGGGAGTAAAATTTGGCATGCCCAACGATTTTCCTTAATATTCCCTCCTTCCATCTTCTTCAATACAACCTTGGCTTTTTCATTGCAACCTGCAGCAATGTAGTGCTTGGCCAAGAGTTGATTTATACGGATATCAGGTTCCAACCCCTCATCTTTCATTGTCTCTACAATCTGTTCCATGCCTTCTATATCATTGACTTGGCCCTTGGTATCAATCAACATTTGGTATGTAAAGAGACTTGGCTTCACATTTTCTTTGTCCATTAGTAAGAGAACATCAGCAATCTTCTTCTTGTCAGTCCTTTTGTATAGAAGAAGCAACTGGTTGTAAGCAAAGCATGTAATTGGCATCTCAAGTTGCTTCATTTTATTAAATACCTCTTCTGATTTTTTCACATTGACTGCAGAAACACAATTAGCTAACAGAGTTCGATAAACAACTTCACTAGATGGAATATGCTGCATATAAGCCTCTGCTCTTTGTAAACCACGGACTTTGGCAATTAAATCAACACGACAAGCAAAATCTCTCTCAGCAAAATCAATCTTCCTTGAAGACTCCAACCACTCAGACAACTGCCAAAAGTAGGAATTAGGGTAGAGCCAATAGTGTTTTTTTTTTTTTTTTTTTTTTTTTTTTTTTTTTTTTTTTTAAATTAATGCAAATCATAGAAGGATGGGCTAACAAAAAATGCTGTGTCAGGGGCTCTTGTATTTTGTAAAAGCTAAAGCTCATATCACAGAAGTAAGATTTAGAAACAAAAAACAGACCTTTAAACGCAGGCCACCGAGTCTAGAATGCGTGTAACAGCTACAAATGGCAAATTTTGCAAAAGAATAGAGATTACCTGCAAGGCTTTTACAAACATACGCCTTTTACGAAGATTAATCATGGCCACTGCCACTTCTAAGCGGGTAACTTCATTTCCTTCCTCCACCCATCTATTCATGACATTACTAACAGATGATGCTGGATTATCCAAAATTGCCTTGAAAATTTTTGATGTAATTCTTTTCCTGGGAGACTTTTTCTCACTGATTTCAGCTTCAGTGTCCGATAAGTTTATTAAGTCCTTAACGTCATCATTAATATCCTCTTCAGAGAGGTCTGACTCGGAGACTAAGTCCTCATTATTATCTGCAATGTCCTTTTGGATTGCTCCAGATGTGGCAGGAGATTCAAGATCAGAAAACCCATCCAGCTCATCGTCTTCCCCTCCACTGCTCTTTGTGTCTGCCTGTGAAGTGAAGCTGCGAATTCCCCAGAGTGCCGCAGGTGAACTATGAGCTGTCTTCTGAAATTTTCTTAAAGATAGAAACCTATCAGTTACCGCTTTAGCAGGCCCACAAACTCCAGAATCACAGTCTTCTAAGCAACGATTTGATATACCCAATCCAGGAGACATAATCCGAGTATTATGTATGTTCAATCCTTGCTTCCTGGCATAATAATCAATAGCCAATTTAGTCAGTTTTAGTGAATAAGAGTTTCCATTAGGAGTAGCTATCTACTCAGCAAAGAAATGTAAACAATACATATTCTTAGAAATTAGATTTTTTAAAGCTTTTAACACTTAGGTACAAGTCACTCAAAAATCATGGAAAATTTAGTCTAGCATCCAGGTTAAGTTCAATTAAACAACTATGGACGATAGCTGCCAGACCGATTAAAAACTTTATGCCTAATCAATGATATTAAAACACAGAAAATCTAAAGCATCACATCAGTATTTACAAAAACACAACAAGACGACGTAAATGCAATGACCATAGTTGAACTTATGAATGCACACACGTGCATATATATAGGAATCAAAACGAAAGTTCATACTGAATATATATATATATATAAGTCTGTGGAGGGAGATGGATGGGAAAACACGAGATTACCTGAGGGAAGAAGAAGCTCGGCGAAGTGCCCACATGGCGATTAATCGTAGAGGAGCTCTGCTAGCTGAAATGCAACCTAAAGATCGCTACTTTTACAGAGAGGAGAAGGAGACTGAAGGCCTAAACCCTAAAACCCTAACAACGGCTTTGCATTTTATATGGAGTATATTTTAGACGACAGAGGCTGGTCTAACATATCAAAAATGTAGAGACACCCCTAGAGTTTAACATATTACCGATATAGCACACTTTGTTATACTATATTTCAATTCACTACTAACTAAATATTCCACTATTTTATGGTCGCGAGAGAAACTCTTGGTAAATTTCACTCATGTATCATATGGTAAATTACACTCGATAGGGCTTTTGTGCTAGTTTCATAGTGAGGGTATTGACAATTGAGAGATAAAAATGTAATTATCTATTTTAAAATTTGTATTTTACGAATTTTAAAGAGAGTTACTTTAATACTATGTGAAATGCTTAATCAATATTTTATCGATTTTAACTGAGAAGTAATTGGCTAAAGTGTCAATCATATTTCTTGGATTGAAATTAGATATGTATATAAATTTGTTTGAATTAAATAGTTTAATTATTGTTTCAATATTTTATCAATTTTATCTCCCATGTTTTTTCATGAAGGGAACAAATGTGTCGCCTTTTTCACAAATCTTGCTCAAAACAAGGAGTGGGGCACTTGTACTTTTGATGATCCCCGGAGGGTCTGGCGACTATCCTCTCTCAAGATGCTGGTGGTGCAACCACATGTAGAATTAGATAATCATGCAGCCTAGCCTCTCTTTCATCACAAAAAAAAAAAAAAATTGTTTACAAAATATATGAGGCATTCGAGGGCATCACTATCTCTTAATATATAAGTGCACGTATTTTAATAGTGGGTTTGTCTTTATTGCGGGTACTTTTGTACAAACATATAAATGCTTGTATGCCATTTGAGACGTATTATTTTGTTCTCGAAAAGTTGAACCCCAACCTCAAGGCTCAAGGGTTCACACGTCCCTGTCTGACAGAATATTTGGAAAGATGTAAATCATGATAACGAAAACAGAGGCTAGAGCTTTGCTTATACTATATACAAGGAGCCCCCTCACGTTGAGAGATTGCTCCCACACTGTCACTTATAAGACTCAATCTCGGATCATTATTTTTAAATTTTACACGTGTGACCAACTGAGTTGGCCATGCGGACATTTGAGACGCATTTTGTGTACATGTGTATGTACTTGCGAGAATAATAGGATAATAAAAGGGCTAAGGTGAAATATTGAATAAATATGGGTATAATTTTCAATTTTCACAAAATAAACGACAGGTCAGCACAGCAAGCTTGAGGCCTCATCCATATCCAAATATCTCTCCATTTACGGAGTAATCTTCTGATTATTCTCAGCTTCGTCTCCAAGCGACTCAAAAATCAAATTCGAAATTTCGAAGAGTGCATTCATTCACAAGGTTTATTCTTTTAATATTTCATTTTTGTTTTCAATTTCTGCAACCCTAAGTATCATTTTCTACAAATTAATAATTAAATTGATCAAGTATTTCATAAATTTCATTTTGCATTATATAAAAAAAATTGCTTGTGTAAATGAAGCTTTTGTGGTCTGTAACGAGGATTTTCAGCTGAGAAACTGTAGATTTGGTTTTGATAGGGATATATCTACGGATTAAGGTTTTAGGTTTAACTATGGACTCGGATGGGCACAATTCAGCCCGGGAGAAGGTTGGTGCTGCCGGTGCTTTTCGCAGGCCGTCCAACGATGCTGCTAATCGGAAATATCGACGTCGGTCTCCAGTTGGCGAATCATCCTCGGACGGTTAGTGAATGGATTTAGTTTCAATGGTACATGATGTATTTCCTTCAAAGTAATTGACGCCCAAGTTGTGTTTCTAAGGATTGCTGTGTAACTTATTAATTGTGCCTTTTGTTTTTAGTGTGTCAAATGATTTGTCAGTGGTGAATTGGTGATATATCTTAATTTCTCTTTGTAATGCACTTTGGAAATGGAATTTGTATATTTGGAACTTTGGGCTGGTAACAAGTTTGATTCTGCCACTATGATATAAGTTCTAAATTCAAAGAGCTTCTAAGGAGACTATAATTATTACTCCGTACTCTGTAGTATCTATAGTTTGGAAGTGAGGCTACTGAGTGCTGACTAATAGATATTGGTTGGAAAAGGAGAAAAGAAGAAGGTGGGATGGGGAGAAGATAAGTGGCTCAAGTTCTGCTTTTGAAGATATTGAGGAAGGGACCCTGGGCCCTTTAGGAGCTAAAGAGCAAGGGTATTTGGTGGGATGTATATATGAATTTGACAATCTCAGGTCATGGATTGATCTTGGGCCTTATTTATTTATTTATTTTTGGATGATGAGGGAAACCCCACAACCCTTTCGAAAGTGAGTAAACCCCGCCTTGTGACCCTAGCCGGCAAAGGACCACAAGGAAGTAAACCAGCTTAGGTTATCCATAGTTGACCGGCTCAAACCAAGGGGGCAAGGATTCGAACTCGTGGCCTTGTCACCTTGTGGCTACAAGTGTGGATCTCTTGCCATCTTGGCTGGGGTTACCCCCTTCTTGGGCCTTATTCTGATTATAGGAAGTGTTGTGTTTTTATTTGTGTATGGTTTTCTTTTATGGATCTTCGTTTTCCCATCAGGTCAACTGTTCAAGTCCAAAAGAATTTGTAATTTTTTATTTTCATATGGGTAAAGCACACTCCATTGATTAGAGCATTTTAAAAAGGCTTCTAAGAAATTAGATACAGAGTATTTGATATGCTATTTTTTACACTGGCTTTTTGATCTATCCCATTTATAGGCAATTTAGTACTTAAAACTTTCCTGTTCATTAATGTGGAATGTGTTTGGATAAGATTGCTCGTGCTTTATGTAATGTAAGACTGTGAACTGGTATTTTTTACTCATTGATATATTGGTAAAGGTAGTTGGCTTTTAACATTATATATCATTTTACAGTTGTAATAATAGTGAATTAGTGATGTGAAGAAATAGTGTTTAAACTGCTTTAATCATTAGTCATCCATGGATCACCACTGCTTTGACAGAAATTGGTGCTTGGCTATTTCAAGGGTGTAGAATACTTCCATCATGTACTTTCCATTTACAACTAATCTCCAAGAAAGATTCCCTTGTAGGAGTCAGTTTTTAATTTATTTGCCTTTTTTGTTGATGCAGGTAGTCCTGCCCATGAGAGGAGCTTGAGTCCAGTTCCACCAACTGAAGCTTGTGAAAAAAATGATGATTCTCAGCGAAGGAAGGATGATGGAAGGGATTTAGGGAGAGACTCTGGTAGGAGTCAACATGGCAGGAGTGGTGAGTCACACAGACATTCTGATCGACAATCCTCTAGGAGTACTCATAGTCACCGCAGGCATGATGAGTATACAAGACATAGCAGGAATGAAGATAATGATGAAAGAGAGAATATAAAATCATATTCTCATCATCATCGGAACTCAAGAGGAAGAGACTATTCTGATCACTCTAGGCAAGAAAATGACCATAGGTCGAGAGACTATCCACGTGATGTTGATAAATACTCCCGAGATAAGTATGGTTCTTCAGGGCACAGAAGCAGGGACAAGGAAAAGGAAAGCTCATCTCTCGAGTGTCAAAAGTACAAAGAAAAAGATTCATCATCTGATAGAATTGGATCTGATAATAGGTATACTAACTATGGCATTGAAGATGGTAGGTCTGGAGAAAGGGATAAGCATAAGGAATATAGAGATAGCCAAGATGAGAAGACAGACCATAAGAGGAATTTAGGAGAGTATAAAAGTTATAACTCACATGCTTACAAAGAATCCAGGGGCCACCGCAATGAGTCAACTTTAAAAAAGGATGGCTCTGGCCATCGTCTAAAAGAAGCTGCTCTGCCTGATTATATGGAGTTGGATAGTGAAAAGTACACCAAGGAGGATAAAAAGAAATATGATGATGGGGAAAGGTTCAAGGAGCGGCAAAGTCGAGAAAAAGAGAAGTATGAGGACAGGAATTTATCTTCAAGTAGATGTCAGGAGTCTTCCGCAAAGAGGTCCAAATTTTATAGCATTGATGGTGGAAGCACAGAGCATGTAAAAGATGGTATAATATAAATTATTTTCTCTTTTTTCTTATTGGCAGATCAATCCTTTTTTATAATTTTGCATTTTTTATTAATTAATTTTTGAGTCAATAATGGCAGATGAAAAGCAGTCGTCAAATTCAAAACAAGGCCAAGTGTCTCCTGGCGAAGTCACTTTGGAGCAGGGTGTGAAAGACTCTGATATAGATGCTGCAAAAGTTGCTGCCATGAAGGCCGCTGAATTAGGTATACTATTGATTCAGATAGTTTATATATCTTCTATTAACTCTCTTCTGCATTTTGTGAGAATGTAGCCTTGAAATATCAAATATTAGCTAGAAGAACCTGTTGAGCCCCAGATTGCTAGGATTTTTTATCCTCTTTTATCTCTTGATGGTCCATGAGTGTCAAGCAGTTCACCTAGAAATGTTGTTTCTCCTTAAGCTGTTTGTCACTAACTTAGTTATGTATGCTCTTATCTTTATGGATTATTTTTTTTAGGGGGGAGGGAGTGGGGAACCCGATACAAAGGAAAACTTAGCCATCCCTTCTGTCAAGGGACATTCTATCTTTATGGATATTTACCACAAATGTTGATGGAATCATTGGAGTTGGGCATGAGAGTTATATAGTTTTCTAATGACATGGAGTTCATTGGAAGTTCTTGATGCAGTTTTACTCGCCCATCAATTTGTACATTTTGTCATTAACATGTTTTTTGTTTCTTGTTTCAACAATTGGGGTTAAATTACAGTTAATAGGAATCTTATTGGAACCGGTTACATGACTGCTGATCAGAAGAAGAAGCTGTTGTGGGGAAGTAAAAAGAGCACAAATGATACTGAAAAGGTAACTATATTTCCATCATCCTGTTTCCTTCTGTCTTCAAGATCCAGCATATTCATATTAGAGGGGATAGGTTGCACACAGCACATCACATACATGGACACCTTAAAAAGTTCTATTAATGCTGCATGGCAACTTCAGTACAAAATTCCAAATGAACAGTGCAGCTAAACAGAACCACTTTTGATATTGCCTGCACCACCGAGCACATGATTAAGCTCTAATTTTGGTATTCTTATGCTGTATGTTATTCACCGCATTTATTTCTTCTGTGTGTTTCATTCAAAATGAATAGTCAGCTCATCACTGGGATACATCAACATTTGGTGACCGTGAACGACAGGAAAAATTCAACAAACTCATGGTAATTTCCCTATGTTTTTGTTCTACACTTTACATCGGTCAGCTAAACATAATTCTTCTCAGTGTTGGCTGCTCCTTATTTAGCTATCAATCTATCATCTTGATGTTTTACATTTTCATACATACTAACACACTTTTAGAGTCTGAGGTTGCCTTGGTACATATGGCCAATTGTAGGGTGTGAAGGGTGATGCCAAGGGGGAGCTGAAACCCGACATCCATGATGCAGAGAAGCAAAGAGAGCTTCAGATAGACTTGGAGAAGCAGTACACTGCTGGGCTCCGTCGAAGAGATGGCCGCACAGTTGGACTCGGACTCTAAGCATACGACTTGATTGTCTAGCACGTTCATCCACGACACAAAGAAGCAAAGGGAGCTCCAGACGGACTTGTAGAAGCAGTACACATCGGGGAGATGGTCGATTTGATTGTCTGGTGTGTTCATTAAACCGTAGCAAAACACATTATATTGTACTATTTTGCACGTACGTATGATGTTTCTTGTGGTGCTGGACATCCCTAATCTTGTGGTGCAGCTCAGAATTGCTCCTGGTGAGGATTATTAACAAAGCATTTATATTGACATAAATTTTGATAAATGTTTTGTTCAATTTTATGGAAAGAATTGCAGTCTTGTGGAGTAGAAGATAGAAGAAAGCAAAAGCAAAAGATATAACAAATTGAAGACAAAATGCTTCCAAAATGCAAACATAAAAAGCAACAACATTATCCTGTGAAGAAATATGGTTGTGGGTAACAGGATATGATGACCCCCAAAATCTTGTACCCTAATGCTTCTACAAAGCTTTCCTCTCATTTTATCTTTCTTTTATCTTCAATAAAAGAAAGAAAGAAAGAAATCCACTAAAATTTGTACTGATGTTATTGCTTCACTTTGTTATCAGTCTCTTTTCCAAGATTCTTTTTGTTTCTTGGTGGATTCCATGCAACAATGTTGCAATCAAACTTTCATCCAACAAATGGATGAAAATCTGAATCTCATAGTGCATGCAAAGTGGCCTGGGAACCATTAAACAAATTAAAACATTACAAGATTTCTTATATTAAAAACCAAATATCTCTAGATCAGACACATTTTTATTAATTTTCAATTAGAGACATTTTCTCGAGAGTTATATGTGTGCACGCGTGAACCTAATCCTAATCTTTTATGCGTTTGTGTATATACACGTGAAAAAGCTGAGAATTGAACTTAATGTTTTTAATTAGAATATGTTTCTAATAAAAATTAATGATATTAAAAGCTTTTGAAATAGGAAACAAAAATTCTTGCAATCTTATTTTTATATGTATATATTATAAAACTAGAAAGTTGGTCCATGGTTGCACTTGTAGGGGTCCCCAACCACTAGTTTAGAAATGGGTATCTATGATTTGGATTGCAATTTAAGCATGTAAAATGTTAACACCTATTGGCTTGGAAAGTAATGGTAGTCAAAAGTATTACTCCTTTTCTTTATCTTCTTGATTGCATATATTGATTATTTTAGTTATTTCTTATTTTGTCACTAATTTATACTAATAAACATAGTTGTCAAAATTTAATTCAGCTACAGTGTGTTGGGTTAAGAAAAATGTAAATTAAGGAGTCTTTTGAAGATGATGGAATCCAAAAATTACAATCATAAATATACTTCACGCAAGAATATTATTCACGTCAAAGACTATTTCCAACGAAAAAATAAAGAAAATTTACGTTTTTTGTAGGCTCTCATACCATATGAAATATAAAGTTTTCTTGTATTCTTGTGAATTGAATTGTATATAAATCCTATATTTATACAAGAATTAAGCTTATCATGGCTTAAGGAAGAGCGATGGAGTAAAGTTTGCATCTGTTCTAATTGTCAGCTAGTTGTTCGTCTCTTCAACGATTCATCTTGCGGCTTTTCTTATACCAATAATATTTTTAAAGACTGCATGCCGTTATATTCTTTCTAACTTTTAGGCTTCCGTTAGATTTGTTGATAAGTGAGTAAGTCAGTGAATGTGTTGGCTCGTTCTTTAGCCCGAGCAACACATTCTAACACTGACTTCTGTTCTTGGGTTAAATCGCCCCTGATTTGTATTAATTCATTCATTGATTAATTGATCTTGTTATATATATATATATATATATATATATATATATATATATATATATATATATATATATATATATATATATATATATACACATACAAGTATTAAGCTAATCCAATTCCTATTAGGAATAGGTATAGGGTTTCAAGAAAATGGAATTGAAAATCCTAGATTTGAAATAATGTTTGCAAGAAATGTCATATCAATAGTTTCCATTCATGTTGACAAAGTTGTTGGTAACAACCTTAAACCGAGAAACTAAACTACTTTTAAAACAACTAGTGGTTGAAAATACAGGCAAACGTGGGTTTCTCATTGTCAATGAGTCGTTGGGTAGATGAAGGAATACCCTATTTTAAATTTGATCCATCCATTCCTAGCTAGCTTTAATTTTGAGCAATTAAATGCAGTTCTCTATGCACAAGATATTATTAGTTGCTACTATTTGCGTTTACGCAAGCAAAATCAACTTTGACAAGCAAGCTTGATATATTTAGAGTTGATAGAAACATGAACCATTCTAAAAGAAACAATAACACTATTTGTACGTTCGTGTACAATGTACAATTTATTACATAATTTGCAAAACCCTGGATGATGAAGATTACCTTCTTGATTTTAGAAAATTTTAGATAGCTTCAACAATGTTGTACAAGTCATGCATACACATATTTTCACCTGTCTTTTCACTTAATGAGTCGTTGAATTACCGTGATTAATCCTTCTACAATCTTGTCGTGTTAGGGGTGTGGGGTACTTGGAGGGAAAACTTTCGTCTTTTTTTTTTTTTTTTTTTATTATTATTTTTTTTTGTTTTTTGTTTTGTTTTGTTTTGTGTGGCAAGTCATAAGAGCATCTCATCACGGTACTATTTTGTGGCAAGTCATGAGGCACTTAATGGGTACTTTTAAAAATAATAATAATAATAACTTGGGGGTGTGGTTGAATAACAATGACTCATATATCCTTAACCAAACGTTAAGGGTTCAATCTTTGGCTTTGAACAACTTTAAATTTCTAAGCCAACTGTTCCACTCAAAGAGATTATTATGTTCAATCCTTGACTTTAGGTATGGAGGGAAACTCTAGGTACACCCAAAAAAAAATTGAGTTTTTTTTTTGGGTTTTGGAGTTTTTTACCAGTCGTTATATCATAGACCGCGGTGCACATGCACTGCGGTCAAAAATGGCGCCGTTTCTTTAAGTAAAGAACGGCCCGCCGTTACCGTTAACGGAGTTCGCTTGTTTGGTGCATTAAACACCAATTGACACTACAGTATATCTAAACCGACACTGCAATTATATCAAAATGATACTGTAGTTGTAGTGAAATGAAACTGCAGTGTATATAAAATGAAACTGAATAACATTTCACATATTTGAGTGTATATTGTACAATGAAGCTGTAATTATATCAAAATGATCATATAGTTGTGTTTTAATGAAACTATAGTGTATATAAAATAAAATTAAATAACATTTTCACATATTTGAGTCTATAAATATCGAATGAAACTGTAGTTATATCAAAATGAAACTGTAGTTGTGTTGAACCGAAACTGCAGTGTATACGAAATGAAACTGAATAACAGAGTTACTTTTTGCGGAACGGCGAAAAACGAATGCCGTTTATTTTCATTTAACAAAACGACGTCGTTTTGATGTGAGGTGCATAATCGATTATGCACCGCGGTGCACAATATAATTTGCCCTTTTTTACATGCCATGTAAGCCGGATAAAGGGATCGGATAAGCTTATTGGTGCGCGTCACGCACCTGCAGGAGCATATTCTATTTTTAAATTTTTTTTTTCCATTTGCATTTGCATGAGAAAAAATTTAAAACTCCCTTTCTCGATAAAAAAATAATAATAATAAATAAAATCACCATCTGATTTTTGTTTCTGAAAAAAACTCTCTAAAAAATCACTCTTAAAGATGCTTTAAGCTCATTTTTTTCCTCCCTTTTTCACCATCCAAGTTACTTTGCACCCTTTTTCACCATCCAAGTTACTTTGCACACATGCATTATATTATGCATACATTAGAGCAATGGTTAATTAATTAAATATAATGCACCACACAAAAAGGAAAACCTAACCATTTAATTAATAATTTGAATATCCTCCATTATTTCCTAGTGTTGAGGGTGAGATAAGATTTGTGCAGGCATGCATTTAAACCTCATGGTGTGTCTGTGGTCCACCCCTTTGAGTGTTTAGTTTAGCAGCTTTGTGCGTGCAGTTTTGGAGAATTAAGTTAATTAAAGCATATATATATATATATATATATATATATATATATATATATATATATATATATATATATATAGTATATAGTAGTGGCATATATTATTTCATCCTCATTTCACTCATCACTTCAATTTTATTTCTTCAACTGTGACACCAACTTTCCATGACTCAAATTGAATCCATTCTCTGAATCCAGCCTTAAAGTACCACATCAATCATCAAACACGTACAATAGGAGTGCAATTCCAATACATTTCACTTATTTCACGCGCGTCTCGTTATAACCCATTATCTTAATATTCTGATTCTTTTAAACGTACAATCAAATGTAATGCACCGTTTCTTTTTCAATTTTGTTTTTGGACCAATTGTTTTCTTTTATATTGGGTTATTATTATTTTTAAAAGCATATTATTATGGCATTTAATCATATCAAATTAGTAATTATTACTGTATATTTGAATAGTACACCCAATAGCAAGTATTAAATCTTAATTTATGGGTTACAATAACCAAATACAATGTATTTCATAAACGAAAATAAATACATTAACACCCTCTCGCTCGAATCCATCGCACATGGGTTTTCTGTTGTGATTTATGAATTATTACACATGAGGGTGATTTATGAATTATTACACATGAGGGAGATTTACCTAATGCACATCTGCTGTGGTCGGGTTTCCCTTGTCACAAAAATAAATAAATAAATAAATACATTTAATATAGAGACAAAAAGAAATTCTAATATCAACTATATTGAACATTGGTCCAGTGGATAAGAAGTTTAAGTCTCACTTAAGATTTTCTTTTCGCGGTAGGGTAGGAATTCTATTCCTACCACGAACATTGGAGGTTTGAGGTTTGAGTTTTGATTGGACTCGTTGAGTATAGATCTGTACAGTTTGGTGTTAATTTCAAAATTATATTGACTCAATATATCTCCTTTTGAGTCTGACGGTGGATTCATACTTCATAGGATCCATCATATAGTCTGGCAAAGTCGAAAAACTTAGAATAAAAAAAATAAAAAAAAAATCTAATATTTTTTTGAAAACTTGGAATAAAAAAAAAGAAAATAAATTCTAATATAATTATAGTGTCAGCTAAATTAGAAGTTCAGTTTTTATTTATTTATTTAATTTTGTTCATATGAGTTGTCATTGTCATTATGTTAGGTTATTACTAAAAGGAACTATAAAGACAAAACAAATTTTCTTGATCAAATAATGGAAGCTAGGCAAAAGGGTGAGGAGATTGCATTTACATTGGGTAAAATTAAAATGAAGAAAAAGAAATAATAATAAAATCTTACATAATAATATAATATGGATTAGGTGGAAGTGAAATTGAGGCAAGAAATGTGAAATATAATGTCCCACATTCATCCAGACAAAACTTTAGATGAAACCTTAGCTTAGAGGTCCCACCTAGTACTCATCCTCATCTATCACACTGTTGTTGCCACCTTTAATTTCCCTATCAAATTTTATTCTTTATCATTACCCTCTCATCTTTCATTTCTTAACCCATTTTTAGCTTTGGGATCTCAGACATATATACAAATTATTGATTAAACATGTGTCTTCTTGGTATTGGTATTTGGTATTACCAAATTTCACACATTTTTTTTTGTTACTATTTTGTACAATAACATCATAATCATAATATATTAATAAAAGAAAAAGAATTTCTCAAAAAAAAAAAAAAAATACTGGAGCGGAGGAAGCGTGACTCTTCCTCACTTGGTCAAGCCTGTTACACTTCTCATTGGTTGAAGAGAAGATTATATAGGTAGTATTTATCAATAATGTCCCACCACTGGTCATGTGACCACCCATTTGAAATGGTAACATATGTGTCATCAGACTGCATAGTAATTAGCATTGAAAAATGTGTTTAATTTTAACTAATAATTTGAAAAACAACAAAAATTGAAATATAGTGAAAGTGAGATCCATCTCGCTAACGTCGTACATGATCTTTTAAAAAGTTACCTTTGAATAGCTCTCTAATTGTATACAATTCTCAATTCCAACAAATAGTAATCTATACTTAGATTTGGTTCTTTATCATAATCATATATCCAAATATCTAAAGAGAATTTTGATAGATTATATTCCTGTTAGGTATTCAAATATAATCTACCAATCAGCAGAAGGCACATGTCCACTTCGCAATCTTTATTTGGACACATAAATGGAATACATTTTTCTCTAAGCTAAACTCATTAAATAAATATTTATTCTCTTGTTTTAGGACTAATTAAAACACCCTTCAAATCAAATCATTATTATAGTTCCTAAGTAGACTTTTGTTTCCCCATGATGATGATTTTTGTGACATTATTCTCTCCCCACATTTTCCTGTTGATATGTACCAAATTTATATTTTACAATTTTAAAAAATTAAATAATCAACGGAGATTGACTCGTATAAATTATCATTATTGATTTTAAACCCTTTAATCCAATCTAATGATATTTCACCTCAAATAACTTACACTAAATATCTTTCATTTCCAAATAAAAAAATAAAAAATAAAAATTCATTGTGCCAAATGCTTTGGAACATTTAAGAAGCAACCAAATCCTTTTCAAGGTTGGTGGTTTAATACAGACCGTGATGTTTCTGTTTTAAATCCCAACTGTAAAACCATTTCCTTATTAATTTTTTGTCGGTTGAAATTAAATGTCTGCAGATTTTAGTGTTCTTCCCTTGACTTAAATCTATGGAGTTGGTTTGATATCTCCTTAAATTTTTAATTTATACCCGAAAAAAAAATGAAATTTCTTCACTTCAAGAAACTCAACTGCCTTTTAAGTAAAAAGATAAGTGTTTGACGTTTACAAGAACCTACGACATTGAGTGTAACTCTCACACTGTGCCTGTCAAACTTCGATCTTGTGGTGTTCTTGAAGGACCATAAAGAAATAAATCAGACTAAGTTGTCCATAATTGATCGGTTCAAATCAAGAAAATCAATAAATTATTTCTGTTGAAAGTGGAATTTATAATATTGTGATCACTGAATTAATAATAGGAATAAGGTTCAAATTGGTCACTGAACATAACCTGAAAATGCAATTAGGCCACTGAACGAAAAAAAGATGCAATTATACCACTGAACACTCAAAAACGTGCCATTAGACCACTGAACACTCCAAATGTATGCAATTTCACCGGATAGCAGGTTACCATCAATTTTAGCAAGTTACCTGCTTACGTGGCGGCTGAGTTGGCATTTTTAACAATTTTTAAATAATTTTTAATAACTTTTAATAATAAATTGAAAATAAATAAATAAATTTTTAAAAAAATTAAATTTGTTTTAAATATTTTTTTAAAAAAATTTATTAAAAATGATTTAAAATGCCAACTCAGCTGTCACATAAGCAAATAACCTGCTAAAATTGATGGTAACCTGCTATCAGGTGAAATTGCATATTTTTGGAGTGTTCAATGGTTTAATTGCACTTTTTTTTTTTTTTAATTTAGTGGCCTAATTGTATTTTCAAGTTATATTTAGTGACCAATTTGAACCTTATTCCTTAATAATATAACTAACTTGGTTGGAGTTACCTAGATACAGATATGAAATATATAATATTGTCGCCATATCCACTACTACTTTAACAGTGATATATGAAGAAAAAATATATAATTTTTGTTCATAAAGTAGCAAATATATCGTCATCATCATCCACTAATGAAATTCTTTCATGATTTAATTATTAATTTAATATTCCTTAAGATTATGTTTAATCTCGAGTATAAATGCCGCTGCAACCCCTCAGTACTTTGCTTGTGCGATAAAGAAACCCATTCTCTAAATCCCAATGCTATTTTTCTTGTTTTCTTGCTTCTCCATCGTCTTCCTCTCTAACTCATTTCATCACCCATTCCCTTCTTGGAAGCGCGACATGGGATTTAGGTCACTGCCTTTGTTCTGGGAGGAGTTTTCGAGGTTCTTGCTATCATGGTTCCGGAAAAACAAGAACTTTCTTGATGGGTTCTTCCATTTCTCACGAATCTTGTCTCCGGCGAGGGAGATTGGCGGTAATGTGGTGGAGGAGACGACTGCGGAGGGGACGAGTTTGATGGATTTGCCTGACCTGGCTGTGGAGTCCATTCTGGAGAGGCTTTCGGCGGCGGAGCTGCGGAGCATGGCGGCGGTTTGCGCCTCGCTGAGGGAGAAGTGCGTGGCGGATCGCCTGTGGGAGAAGCATCTGAGGGAGAGATGGGGGAGGTTGATTGGCAATGCTGCATATGCAGAGTGGAAGCGCCATGTTGCCTCTATGAAGAAGAAGAAGAAGAAGGCTGGGTTTTTGGATTCCAAAAGGCAGGGGGATTTTCTGGGGTATTTTGCAAGCTTTAGGGATCTTGTGTTGAATGGCAGATCAGAAGTGGGGAATGGGGTGAAGGGCTCTTTGCCAGAGGACTCAGCCATGGCTTTGTATTTCTCTCTTGAAACTGGCAACTTCTCTTTCCCAGCTCAGGTTTATAACCGTGAGGTAAGTTTCAGAGATAGCAGATTTGGTGTGTTTCTGTGTATTGCAATGGCATTTAGGTGTTGATATGTATAGGTTCTGAATTCTGATTGTTCATACATTGTTTTTTGCTAAATTTCTTGGTTGTTGTTTAATGTGCAGAATGGGAATGTTGGGTTTATGTTGTCTTGTTATGATGCTGAAGTGAGCTATGATTCCACCTCTGACCTCTTCTGGGCAAGGTTAGATGATGAACTCTGATCCTTAAAGAAAGTGTGATCACTTCTTTTCTTGCAAGTTTTTGAGAATTGTTTTAGCTTTTGGCTTGTAATTGGAAAACACTTAAACGCAGCTTTTATATTGATTTCTGATTGGATTTTTTCTTGTGTTCTTAAACTATATCCTTACTATTTCCTCTTTTGTTAAGGGGGGGAACACTATTCATAGAATCATAGATATTGGAGTTGAAATGACTGTTTCTGCAGGTATCCAGCATATGGAAGACGTTCGATAGAGGAAAACATAGTGTTCGATAGGCTAAGGGCACCTCCCGTTGGTACTTCTGCTTATGTACTGCATAAATCAGATTGCTTAAATGATTTAAAACCTGATGATCACTTCGAGATTCAATGGAGAAGAAGCAAGGAATTCCCTTATGGTATGCTCACCGTTAAAGAAGCCCCCTTTCCTTTTGATTAGGGTTCGTTCTTTTGGATCAACAATTTGACTGTTTAAGCTTCTGAAAGAGAAACTTCTTGCTCGTAGATTCCTGAATCCCGATTGCTAGTTCAAAAAAAAGAAAAAAAAAAACCATTTTTTAGTTCTTAGAAATGACCAATTCGTGAAGCTTTGATACTACAATTATGTGTGTAATATTTTCAACTTAAAATGTTTTGCAGGTTGGTGGTATGGAGTTGTTGGACACTTGGGATCATGCAATGGCAGCAAATTGCACTGTGATTGCCATAGAAGCGGTGAGAGCATACTTTCACCTTTAATGGTTAATAGTTGTCTTGTGTTTTTTTCCTGCTTTCAACATTTCATTTTTCTTCACATATTTCAACTAGCTAAAGGTGGTCTATGATGGAGGATGATATATAGATATAAAACGGTTAATAGGAATATTCAGATTTTTGCATGAAGCAAATAGCAATATCCCTTTAGCAAGTGTGACTGGACCACTTCTTGATCTAGAATGCTTGACAGGTCAATGCAGCATATATGCTGCCAGGAGTGGTGTGGACACTAACAACCTTAATTTTACCTTAAAAAAACATACACTAATGGAAACACGACACTAATTGCGCTTGTTTAGGCTTTTGCCATTATTTTATAATATGTTGTGTGCTGATGCTTGTGGAGTAATACAAAGGTGCTGCTGCTTTTGTGGTTAGCATGTTACTTCATTTGAAACTGACAGGAAAAACTCATTGCCTAATTAACTAAAAGTCTGTCAAGTATTGGTTTGATTGTTTGGCTTCTTGAATGGCTTTTGTTGAGAGAAAAGAGAAGATATGTATATATTAAAATAAAGAGGTTCTTAGCCAAAGAAACGGTAATCAAATATTATATTGCTCCACTCATTATTGACTGCTCATTAGTTTTAAAGAATTAAAGCTATCCCATTTTGTATCATGACTTGTTTAGAAGTATCTTTTGCACAAAAGTGCCATGACCACTGCTGGCTTTGCATATCATATCCAAGACCTTTGGTGGCATGGCAGCTTAGGTGTCAGAATTTGGATATATGAAATGTAGAAAAACTGTGCATTGTTTATGACCTAATTCAGGAAAGATGATTAGCTTTTACTTAAAACGCAAGAAAATCGGGTTGTGGGCCTGAGAATTAGCCTAATCCGAGAAATTGAAAGATGTGTTCTGTCTCAACTAAAGGTTAAGCTGATCGGGTTGTGGGCCTGGGGATTAGCCTAAACCAGGAAATTGAAGGATCTGTTCTGTCTCAACTAAAGGTTAAACTGATCGGGTTGTGTGCCTGGGAATTAGCATAATTCTACGAAATTGGAGGATGTGTTCTGTCTCAACTAAAGGTTAAGTTGATAGTGAGACTGAATATATATTAGTTTATATACATTATGCTCTACACTGTTATGTCAAACTTATACCTGAACCATTTTTTGATGTATGGGGTTGCATGTTTACTCTGCTGGCTTTGCTGAAAAAGAATGTTTTGTTTTAGCGTATTTGTTTTGATTTTCAAGGGCCCTTTTCTGTAATCGTGTTCATGGGTTTGGGTTTAAATTCGTTGTTCGACAGATACTGTGAAGTTAGAGTTCAAGCAGTATTCCCCAGACTCGGAATGGAGAGAGACGACTATAAACCGAAGGGGGCATAAAGAAGTAGGCAATGAAGCAGATGGCTACTATGGTGGGATCAGAAAGCTTTACAGTGAGGATGAGATCTCTGAGTGGAAAAGATTTTGGCCAAGCTGCACCCTGGATTAACCACGATTTACTCGCCCCATCATTGCGCCTTTTCTAACTGCGAATAGTATATATAAATAGCTCCAGGAAAGAATCACCAGGCCTTACTGTCTCAGTTTTATGCAGAAGAGGCCTAGCTAGAGGTTAGTGTCCTGCAGTCAGTAAGGCAATGTAAATTTCCAATGATTAAATGAGAAAAAATTCCCAGTTGTGTATACAAGTGAAATGGCAACTTCTGTCTTGTCTATACTCCTCTCTCTGCATTTAGTTCTAGATATCCATGAACTTCAAGTGAAAACTATTCTCCATCCTATGAAGATACATAACAGGATAATATCTTACACGACGAAAGAACCGATAATTCGTATCAATTTAGACAGCATAATCTGCAAATTGTGCAAGAAAATGTGATTTGAACACATTATAAGATGGTAGCTTTGCACCTCAATGATACGACAACTTTTAGAATGAACTAATCAGAGCAAAAGTGAAGAACTTTAGTAAGATTGACTTATCTGAGTTGGTGTACAATCGATGTACATGATTGTAGAGTTTACATCTTAATGTTTTGAGAAGATAGAAGCAAGTTTCAGTAATGGAAGAAGTTTACAATGCATGTATAGGAGGCAAGCATATGAGGGTGATTGGGTTCACTAACATCACCTTCCTTAATGGACAAAAGCTCTCTAGTTGTTTTCGTTCATACTGCTGTTGGGTTGAGGGATTATTTGTAATGCTGCAAGCATATGGTACACCCCTGCAATGGGGTTGAGACCTATCTCCCCTCGGTAAAATCTCACAAAGTGCTGACATCCACTCGGCTTTTGTGGAGCTGAAAGGCAGGGGTGATCCAGCTTCCACAACTGCACTGGATGCCTGACCAATTGAAGTAACCTAGGCGAGCTTCACAGTGGATGCAGCAAAGCTTGCCTTCCAGAGCACCCTCTCCGACTGGGATCCAGAATTGAAGGGAAAAAGAAAGTAGGTTAGAAAGGAAATGGGATTTAATTATTAGGGTACTTGGGTTAGATTACAAAAATCTAAAACTGATCAAGAAGACAATGATGGGAAGGAGTGGACTTGAATAAATGTTGTAATCCCAGATCTGCTACCATTCATTTAAAAGCTGTGCATTATTCACTTGTAGAATATAAAATGCAGGATGCGAGGGTAACCCCAACCAAGCTGGCTAAAGATACAAACTTGTAACCACAAGGTTACGAGTTCGAATTCCAGCCTTCTTGGTTGAGCTGGTCAACTCTTTTAGGGTCACAAGGTGGAGTTTACTCAGTGCACATCCTCGGATAGTGACTGCTCGTTTCTCTTGTCATCCCAAAAAATGCAGGATGCAAACAATCACTACTTCTTGTTCATCAAACTTGGGGCCTGATTATTGTTGGTTTGTGTGTGTGTATGTAGAGGGGGGGGGGGGCGGGGGGGGGGGTGTAATTTACAAAGATAATATGCTATGCAATAGCCTCTACCTGACTTCATCCACTGCAGAGGCTCAATAAAGATGGATGAACACTCATCATCATCTGCTTTCTCAAAAGGACGGCCACTTCTCCTTTTAGACCATCCAAAGGCTGTTTCACCCTCTCCAGGAACATGATCAATAACATTATCTTGCACCGCAACTACTCTCCGGCATTTCTTGCAGCGGTATGCTTGAGTAGGACAGGCTTCCCTACTCAAGGGCTCATCAGTAACCAAGGAGAGTTTTTTTGTTAGCAAAGCAGGATCTGCTGCAAACTTAGACGCCTCTATTGTCTCTCCACGATTATAGCACTCACCTGGGTATAAAAAGTACAATGTCAATCAACAGAAAAGGATCTGTCTGCAGTGCTACTGAAAATGAAGCATTGCTTCAGTAAAACACAAATTGAGCAACTAAATGCCATAGAGCACAAGATGGAAAACACCAGTCACAGATCAAGAGCTCACATATATCTATAAATCTATAATCACAGATGGTAATTGACATTGACAGAAAAACATAATTGATAATTAAGGTAAGGAAGTAGACCTAGTAGCTTTAAGTGAAACCGTTTGTATGTGGGGCTGGCACGATTAACCTTGAAGCCCATTTCTTCAAACATTTTCAACTGTGGCCACAGGAAGGAAAAATTATTCAAGAGTCGCAATTCATGAGAAGCTGGAAACAGACATCAAGGATAATTGAGATGCCAGCTCATAAATCACTTTGCAATGTCTGTATCACCTGATCTACAAAACCGTCGTTTGGGGAGACAGATTCGCAGCTTTGACATAAAGATTGAATTGCGTCTTCAAAATCAAGACATGCAGGAGAAAGGAGAGAGAGAGGAAAGATTAGGCAAAGACGAAGTAAATGGAAATAATAAACACAAATTATGGGTAAATTGTCATCATCAATTTAGAAGACTCTAAATAAAGCACGAAACAAACTACTATAAGAGCAACACTACAACTGAATAATGAAGTTTATAATACCTTCATATGAAAACTGTTCAGATCTCATCAAGTACGCTGCAACAATGGATGCACTGCAGAGGATGCAAAGAAGGATGTGATTCTATAGGGCTTGTCAAAGCAGGATAGGAGAATACATATGCTGTAACAAAGAATGTCCAAATTGAAAAGGTTCTAGAAATTAACATGCTAAATAACATGAGAAGAAAACATCAACAGACTTTGCATGCTCTTGGTAAATAGGTGCATTTGGAAAATGTAAACTCCTAGTCAAACAAAAATGTCTCCTCATCCTCAATTCAAAAATCTGAGTGCAGCCTTCCACTATTAGCTTGTTTATAGACAAGAAATTGCATCATTAATTAGATTGAACAGCTAAAAAAACCAACAAGTATTGATCTTAATAGTGGAACTGCATAAGTTATGCAAAAGAAAGAAAATAAAAGAAGAATTACCAAACTAGGACAACTTAGAGAAAAATAAAGAAGAAAAAAATTACTAAATTGACAGATATATACACTATTAATGCTTTTGATCCATTAGACCAACAGGTCATGAACTGGAGATATTTGAATTTAATTCATATGTTCGTAAGGAGAGTTAACAGGTCAGATATCATATTTCAGATGAACTGAATAAGTGGATAAATCATGTGAAGAGGCCATGAATACATTACAAACCATTTAAGAAGTCATACCAGAATATAACAAGTCTTAGTACGAACAGTTACCCCCATCTAGAGGAAGGAATAAATACAAACTAGAAGACCTATCTAATTTATGTTAACATATGTTAGAAAAAAATAAGGGTGATCATGCATTTATAATATGTGAGATTGCTTTCCCTTAGACTGATCTAGAAAAACAAGACAGGGGACCCCCAAGCTCATTAAAAACCCCACTGTCATAAACTATGCTTGTCAAATTATAATTTTTTTGTTTTTAAATCTTCAGAGGAAAATAGTAATAAACAATTGACATGGACTGACAGGAAGAGCTCAAAGTGGCAAACTGTGGTAACTGCTACAATGTGTTTTGTGCCAATTTTAGACTTAAGATGCAGAATAGTGAACACACAAACTTTGGGGCTTAAATCATTTCCAAATTTTGCACAATTTGAAGATTTATTAGCTTCATTGGGTCTCAAACTCCTTCCTAAAGAAGAATCTCAATGTACTGAGTAGTAATAATACTATAAAAATGAAAAATCAATAAAGCAGCCTGAGGTTATCTTTAGAAATAAAGAGCACTTCCTGACAGACTAAAGATGTTATGTTCATGGGCAAAAGCTCATGTCAACGGGTAATGGAGATTGTTGGAAGTGGAGGGTGGTTTGCCTATTTTGTGAGATTAGAAAGGGTCAAAGGATGAAGGAAGACTAGGGAAAATAACTTGGAAATTTTGGGAGTTTTCCTTCCTAATTTTGACTTAATTATGCTATGTTTATTAGCAAAGAAATCCCCACTTATATAGAAGGATTTACATGTAGTCAGCAATCATATGGAAAGGAATAATAACCAAAATTACTAAACAATTGTAAAGGAAATAGAATAAAATTCAAACTGGCAACCAATCATAATTATTGAGAGAATTAATCTTGCTTTATTTTCCTTGATTTCTTGAGCTGATTTTTCTATGTCATATCATTACTCTCCTCTGGGACATCAAGTTCGTCCTCAAGCTTGAAATCGGGAAATTTGGGAATAGTTTATTTTGGGTTGTTGGTTCAATCTACAAATCTTCAACTTCTTCATCAAAGCCAAGCTATAGTAGTGGTTTCCAACATTTCTTTTGGTGAGGGGCAATGTTGAAAAAATCGCTAGGCGTCCTCTAGGCGCCTGGGGACCGCCTAGAGCGCCTAGGCGGGTGCCTAGGAAGCCGACCGCCTAGCGCCTAGGCGCGATTTTTGCAACAGTGGTGAGGGGTGCTTTCAACGAGTTTGGTTACGAAATGAATTTTGGAAGAATAGAAATCGTATTCCATAGAGAATGGAATAAGCAACAATAGAATAGGAATTCTATTCTATTATTTGGTTGGTTTAAGGAATAAAAATGGAATAAACATTCAAATGACATAAATACCCTTGATATGTGTGTGTGTGTGTGGTGTAATAATTATTATTATAGAATACATGTCAAAGATATAACTTAAATAATAAATAGAAAATTAGACATTACCAAAATAGACTATTTATGATAACTTAAGAATAGCCTAATGCCCTAATACCAAAGCCCCCCGGAATAGCTCATTCTTGGGAATAAAAGGACTAAACAAGAATTCTATTTAACTAGCGGCCTATTTCGTGAACCAAATATGCTATTAATGTGTGGGGGCTTGAAAGGAGGTGGCTGCTTTACCATGATAGTATTGTTAGATGGATACTATCTCATTGGGGAGTGGCGTCATGGTGTTGAATTGCCCAATAAATGCGTTCTTTGGGCATAGCCACGGGTGGTGTTGATTGCTTAATCTAAGCATATGGATTTGCATATTTTGACGTGAATAAGTCTACCTATTGGTCATATTGGATTTTACCCGATCATTTGGAAATTGGCAACGTACTCCTCAAGCTGCCTGCCATTTGTATCATTTTTTGCTACATCGCCCAAAGGGTTGAGGCTACGAGGTGGTCCAACATGGAGCATACACGAATCTCTTAAAGTTTTCCATGAGATTAGCTAGCGGATCTTGAACCCGTACCAAAGTTGGGTTTTCTCGGCCATGTGGTAGATTGTTGTGCCCGCTTTCTCCTGCTTCGATATATACATGTTGGCAAAATAGAGTTCGTAACAATGGAGCCAAACCAAGGTGTCTTCTTTGGTTGAGAAATTCAGGAATTCCCACTTAGTGTAGCAGGTTTGTGGTGCAACCTCGAGTTGGTGTGAGGAGATGGGTGTGGCTGGCAGAGTAGGTGGTGAAATGATTGTTGAAGTTTTTGAAGATGATGGTTGGTTGATCTGTTTGGTTACCAAAGTTTCCACCATCTTGCCCAGGTTGTCAACAGTGTTAGACAACATTTGGATCGAATCTACTATGGCCTCCATTTTCTACAAATATGTTTGTATGGATTGCGTGGTAGTTTGGAGTGCCTTGACTTCAGCTAGTACTGTTTTGATATTGCCCATGTTGACACTCGGCAACGAAGCCAAAATGTTATGTTCACGGGCAAAAGCTCATGTCAATGGACAATGGAGATCATTGGAAGTGGAGAGTGGTTTGCCTATTTTGTGAGATTAGAAAGGGTGAAGGAAGAACAGGGAAAATAACTTGAAATTTTGGGAGTTTTCCTTCTCCTTAATTTTGACTTAATTCTACTATGTTTTATTCGCAACGAAATCCCAACTTACATAGAAGGATTTACACGCAGTCAAAAATCATAAAAATGGAAATGAATAATAACCAAAATTTCCGAACAATTGTAAAGGAAATAGAATAAAATTCAAACTAGCAATCAATCAGAATTATTGAGAGAATCAATCTTGCTTTTTATTCCTCGACTTCCTGAGCCGATTTTTCTGTGCCATATCAGATGTATACCACAGCAATGAGAAGAGCATAAAATGTAACCAGACATACAACAACAAAATAAGAAATAGTACCTTCTTGACACACCAGCAAAGCAATGCACCAATACAGACCCTTTTTTTCTACTTTCTTCAATGAAATCCAAGCACACATCCAAAGAATCCAGCAAATTCTCATTCTCCATATCTCTCAAGGGTACTGCCATCCTCACAAACTTAAGATCCTTCCCAGCGTACTCCAGTGAGTATAGAAGCTTCTTAGGTGATAAGGAAGTATTTGACTCATCAGCAGTATTTCCCTCTGACCCATTTCCTCCAAAATAGACCTTATCAATCTCCTTGGTAGGGATCACAAGCCCACTACGCCATTCAGAGAAAAATGATATTGAAGCTGAACTAAGAACTGATAATATATGTGTAATTTCTTCACTGCCATTCTGAAGAATCTCCGCCGCATCACATATGTTGCCAATAAACAGATGTTCACGAACGAGATAAGGCATATCCCACAACAGAAACTAAAATGAAAACATACTTCTGTTAGAGATATTGAGAAAATACTTGCTCAATTCATAATACTAAAGTACTGCACCAAAGTTTTCCTGTATTATATAAATTATAGTATTCCCTCGCTTAGATGATCCAGTAAAAAATTAAAAGATTTTGAATAGCGGAAAAATGGAAATGTCATCATAAGGATCAGGCAGTACATGTTTTGAAAAATTCATTGCATTCCACTTTTCAGTACAAATATAACTGATCATTGTAACTGTGAATAACACTATAATTGGAACAAGATTTCCAGGAAGAGAAACAAAATAGAAAAACCAGATTACTATGCTCACACAAAAACCTTACAGAATTTTCTCACATATATTTTTACCCATTTACACAACTAAAAGCAAAGAAACAATTTTTCTTTTTCTTTTTCTTTTTTTGGAGCAAAGGTTAAGAATTTAAGTTGATTAAATTCTTTATCCAAAATTAGAATTTTTTGCTCACTGTTTGGTTAATCACATGAATTTGGACCAATAATCATAATCAGCAGAATCCCAACATGACCTGATAGATTATTAACACTTTAATGGAATTATAACAAGATGAATTCAACGATGCTTGCTGAGTTTTTAATCAAAAAGCAACCAAGGCTTAAATTTTTTCCATCTTTTTTTTTTTTTTTAATTACTTAAAAGAAGAAAACAAATCATCAGAATTTCAATGAGCATAGCTAGTTAGCTACATATGGATATTCCGATGAAGACGGAGAAGTAGAGTGAAAGAGACAGCGAGATACCTCAGATAAGCAGAATATTCCGGCGGATAGTAGCGTCACCGGCACCGCGTCAACTTTTCCGGGGATTCGCTGTATGGACTCTCGAGTCAGAGCTGGCCGTTTTTTATGTGTGCTTCCGTTATGTGAGGATTAGGGATTTTTGTATCAGCCCGTTTTATATTTTATTATGAGATTTAATTTTAAATTTACAAATTACAAATTTACTTACAAAGAAATTATACGAAGAATAGTAAGTGTGTTCTAGTTTTTCAGAAATTTTTAAAATTTATTTTCAGTTTTTAAAATGAAAAACTGTGTTAGTAAACATGTTTTCTGTTTTCTATTTTTCAAATTCAGAAAATTTCCAGCTAGTAAACGACCTTTGAACTTCTTCTGTAATAGAAAATTAAAAGTAACTAGGAGAAAAAATTATGAGAAATTTTTTCAAGGATGAATAACATTACTCTTACATTTGCAAGCATCAACATTTAAACCTAAAAGCTACTCGGAATTTATTATGAAGAAATTGACAATGCAAACTCGATCAGAACTAAATCTAGAAAAATCACCCGAACTGGAAACTAAGCCTAGAATTAACTCTTAAGAATACAGTACATGAACTATTAATCAGAAGGCTTTTGTGTGTTCTGGCAAAACAATCAAATTATCAACCCCTTCCACACCCTGTTGTGTATTCAACTAAATACAGTTTTTCCTATCAAAGATTCACAAAATTTACAACATATGATATGAAGCAGCTTGCGCTCCTGAAACTAATCTTGAAACACAACTCATGAGAACAAAGATATGTAAGCAAAAATTGGTATGAGAGGAACAAGAAGAAGCTAAGTTCTTGATGGAAAGTATCAGCAATCGTTTGAGTCCGTTGTGTTGACGGGTATTTGCCATATCTTGGTGTTCTTTTTAGGATCATCTGTAAGAGCGAGGTCTGTATCGTCTTCTTTGAATGTTCGGATGAAGGTTTTCGCTCCCATCATGATAAGCCTTTCCACGATGAACAGCTGGTAGTTGTTCTCGATCAATGGATCCAAAATATGGCTGTAGTTTGAAGCGTATGCCAACTTGTACCTGCGAATTGGAGCCACCGGAAGAAAGGTTGAAGAAACTATAGGAACGGCGCATTCATGGTGATGCCGAGATGGATATATTAGGAACGGGTCCAGAGCAACCCGACCCAGGCTAGGCCGACCACGTAGTCGGCCCCGGACAAACCGACCCGAGCCCAAGAGGTTGGGTCGGGAACGTTATGCTGTGAGCACGTACCCACCTTGCAAGGTGGACACGGTTCCATATTCATAATTTCAATACTGTAGATTCATAAAATTTATACTTTAGATTCCAATTGTTGAACTCTGTTTTCACAAATCAGAGAACTATATGTTCATAATTTGATAACTATACAGTTTAGAAATTATGAATTTACAGTACATAAATTATGAATCTACAGTACATATATTATGAATCTGCAGTATAGAAATTATGAATCTAATGCTTTGCAAAAGGAAATGAAAAGTTCGGTAGAATATTACTTACCTTACAGCCAGAGGCGAAAAGAAACCCGGTGTTCTCTCGTTAGAAGCAATGAAGAGTGTCCGCCCAGGTGGGACCCATTTAGCAATTCTGCACAGAATGAACTCTGCGCGTGTGTCTCTGTCCAAATGGGGATGTAAACTTCGATCAACACCAAACCTATCCTTCCTGGTCTTGATCTTATCTCCTCTGCGCACATGAATCGCATCATAATCTCCAATGAGTGCCTTGATCTATAGAAAGAAGACGAGAAGTATAAAAACAACATTAGCACAGATACATTCCTTTCATCACCTATCAAATCGTTTTGGGGGCAAAGAGAGGCAGGACCTATCTTTGCCATTTCTTACAGACAGAAAGCCACCGAATTACTCTATCTCAATCCATTCATTTGGGTACATTAAACCCTCAGAGCTCTCAGACTTAATATAATAGTACTCATTATTATAATCAACTATAGAATTAATTAAACATGTTTTCTTAAATTGTCTTAACATTAAGGAGTTATCTTTTGTGAATAATTGTTGCTTGCTTCCCTTCTATCTGGGCACATTTTTTATTCTAAAGTTTAAAAAAGTATTCTTCTTCAAATAATAATAATAATAATTAAAGAAGCCCGAGCTTATGGGGTGCTATGATCCTAAGCTTGAGGTCTATACCTTCCCTTGGGTGGAGTAAGCATTGCATTGATGTAATCATGGTTGAAAAAATCGCTAGGTGCTCTTCGGGCGCTCAGGGGACGCCGAGCGCCTAGGCGCCTAGGCGGGGATTAATCGGCGCCTAGGCGCCAGTGTATTTTTTTATTTTTTTTTAAATTGTTTAAATTTTTAAGATTTGATAATTATAAACTATTTAATATTTTAATATTTAATACTAAAATATTAAATATTAACCAAAAAAACATAGAGTACAATTTAGCGTTATTTCTCTCAAAATGACACATCGTTTTGAGTGAAATAACCCATTTAACAAAGAAGGAAACAATAGCTAATCGGCCGACTAGGCAACCTAGTCGGTGCCTAGGAGGCCTAGGCGGTCAGTGCCTAGGCGACCTAGGTGGCGCTTAGGCTGCCTAGGAGGCCGCCTAGCCGGCCAACCGCTTAGATAACCAATTATGGTGATACGCTAAGCACTCGGCCAGCGCCTAGCGCCTAGGCGGGGATTAATCGGTGCCTAGGCGGGATTTTTGCAACACTGGATGTAATCAAGTCTCTGTGTAGTGTTTTTTCTGTTTTGCCAATAGCAACTAAAGAGCGAGAGTGACAAAGAACAGGTATCAGTGCCTGACAAAATGGAATCAACTAACCTTTTCCGCTGCATCTCGTAGTTTCTTTGTGGCCATTGAAGGAAGGAAAGAAAATGGCAACAAGACAGCACTGCGATTGGTTCGATCCTTGCACTCCATGAACCTGAATGTTTACCATGATTAATACCTACAGAAAGATTGTATCAATTCAAAAACAAAGCCAGTACCAGCAAGATTTAAAAAGCAACAGTATATGCCACGTGCATCCAGAGAGTATCATATCAGTTCATAACAAATCTAAACATTCATTTAGGATATATTTAACAGCGCTAAATCTTAATCTGGCCATTCTGCCTTTCCTTTCATGGTTTTGTAGGTAGAAAATAAGAAACAAATGAATAAAATTATGGATATCTTAGCTGGGCTTTTTAAGGGACTAGAAGAACAGTCTCAGTCTCTAAGAGCACAAGTAATCATTAAAACCAAACAATTAAAAGAACAGGAGAGGGCAGAAATAATGAGTAAAGAAACCGAGGCTCAAATTTACCATGCAAGAGGGCTTGCAGTTCGATTTATCAGCAAAATATTTGAGTATGGGCTATTTTCTTTGAGTTCAGTCCGGCTAACATCTTTTACATGAGCAACCCCTCTAGAACCTAATTTCATGCTTGTCTCCAGAACCTGATGCCACATTTTCGAGTTATCCAGAATAACAGGAACTGTGTCGGATATGAGGTCCACATCATACAGAGAATCCATAGCACAGGAGCTAGCTGCCCACCTAGAAAAGGAGATAAAGATGGTTAATATGTTTATGCAGAAAACCTTTTACTGCTATAATTCATCTATGACAAGATACTAAAGAAACAGCTCACAATAAGCATGTTAATGAGTCAAACTCACTGGCAATAATAGAACTGAGGCACAGAATGAAATTCCACTACGATTACTTTCCATTTCCTTTTCTCTTTCTTTTTTTGTATTGCAGTGTGGGTGTGGGTTAAAGGAAAAAAGAAAAGAATTTCTAGAAATAGAAAATGAATAGATCTCTAGTTGAAAAACAAAACAAAGCTCACCCTTCATCTAAACTTGAACCCTCAACTTGATGAAGAATCCCTTTCTTGTTGTGTATTGGATTGATGCACATCCTAGAAGGCATCACAAGCGTTCTGCAACACGAACAAAACAAGGGAAAACATTAAAACATCCATTGATCTTGCAAGCAAATTCCCTTAGAATAAAGATCTTTAAGAGCATTAATAACCTACAGAGTACCATCTTATTGCTCCACAAATTTCAACTCTCATCCTAAATTCATCAAGACTGGATTTATAATATTTTCCAAATTCATAGTGATATCCTTGTGATCCAAACCATACATGAAAAAATTTAAGGAAACCCAACTCTCAGATGACAAAGCAATGCACATTGTCACATTGATATAAACTCAAAAATGCATTTATGTAGCTGGATAACATCACTGAACATTATATATTCACTTGTAAAATAAAAAAATCACAAGCTAGTAGTTAAAGCTACTAAAACTTCAATCCAGACACAGCTCAAAATATTTCAAACTTTTTTTGTTTTCCTTGTTTCAAAGCAATACCTTTGAAGGAACAAGGCTTCTTCAAGGGCACACCGGAGGCTGGACTCCTGGTGACCCAGGCCGGCACAGGAGTCGCAGTGCTTTCCAGGGCAGTCAATTCTGCTCCCCCAGTAGAGGAATTTGTCGGGTATTTTCTTCGGCCTGGTTCTGGAGTGAACTATGAGGTCGCCTATGGTTTTGGGAGCGGAAAGGAAGGAGCCAGTTGTGGAGAGCAAGGAAGAGAAGAGGAAGAAGAGCGCAATGGCGGCGATGGCGGATGTGAGTATGAGAATTGGGGATCTGGATTTCGGCTTCGGCCTGTGGGTTCTGTAGATCGCCATTTTTGCAGCTTGACTATGAGAGCAAGCAGAAAATGCAGGAGAGGAAGATTTCGTTAGAAGTAAAGTGGGAGCAAATTTTTAATTATTATCATTAATCCAACTGTCTCCCCAATCCTCATGTGTCCACTTTAACAACTCTTTTTTTGTTTTTGTTTTTTTTTTTTTTTTCTTTTTTTTTTTTCTTTTAATCACAAAGAAAATAGCAATCATTATGTATGTAAAGGTGTACATTGATATTATGTGCTACAAGTTTGATCAATATATAATTTTTTTTTTTTTTTGACTAGAAAAGTCGTAGTCGTTATTCAAGAATGTACAATGTATCATATACGACAGACTAAACTTAGGAAAGTACTTGCAAAAATTTAAACTTAGGAAAGTGCTTGCAAAAATTAAATTCATGACTTTTATCTTTTTAGACTATCTCCAAGCCAGCGCCATTTCGCCAAAACACAAAAAAGATGGCGGAATTTAGCTCCAACCCAACGCCATTTCGCCAAATTTTTGGCGCACTGTGAACAGTGTTGCGCCATATTCGGCGCAGCACTGTTCACAGTGCGCCAAAACGCTATAATTTTTTTTTTTTCATTTTGACCCCTCTTTTTTGTTTAATTCCATTTGTGTTTTGTTTTTTTGTTTTAATATATTTGTCTATTTTGTTAAATTGTTAACTATAAATTTTATATTATTTAAAATGAATTATATCATTTGAAAGATCTCATCAAGACCGGGTCCCCCTTAAAACCGTACGTGCGGGTCTCCCCGCATGCGGCTCACGCCATTCGAGGTGGCCCAGCCCAGCATTCATTCGCAAATCCTTCAAAAAATAAATTCAAATCCAACCCAGAAAACAAAATAATAATAATAATAATAATAATAATAATAATAATAATAATAATAATATTACCGAACCTTTTCCTCTTCCCATTCTTCCTTTCATAAAAAAAATGGACCACGTCTCCCGAACAATCTCAATACATATGGCGCAAGACGATTCCACATATCGAGGTCGGAATGGGATCGGATGTCGAGTTTAGTCAACATTTGCTGTAGAAGTAGCTCCCGCTCCATACTTACTTCAAGGAAAGAAAGGATTGGGCAATTCCGCCGGTTCTGGGGAAGGGTTTGTTCGTATATCCATTTAAGCGAGCGAAATTTCTGCACTTTCATTTGCTTTGAAACTTTTCTTTGCCTGCTCTGCTCCGATTAAAATAAGTTTAATATTGAACATAGATTAATTAAAAATGAAAACACATAAAGCTTAATTATAACAAAATTAAAGGAAATTACATACTTAATTTAAAGCTAACACATAAAACTTAATTAAAACTACTTTAAACATACTTTTTTTTTTTGAATGCTACTAGCTCTATTACATTGTAGTATCTGTTCATATACTTTCTCAACCTATTGAAACACAAAGAGCTAATAACACCTCCACTGAGGCTCGAACTCACAACCTTCCAAGTGGAAATCCAACCCGGATACCATTGGACCACATAGTCCTAGTACTTTAAACATACTTAATTTAAAACAAACACATAGAACTTAATTAAAACTACTTTAATTAAGACGATTAAAACAAAACTAATATTAAATATAATTTAATTAAAAATAAAATTACATAAAATATAATTAAAGTCTAATTTATTAAATTACAACTATTAGTTTTGTTAAAAGAATAAAAGTATAAATATAAACTTTATGAGGGGTGTAGGAATAAAATTTGGTTCAGAATTTGGTGTAATGGGTTGGAGATGGAAAAAATTTGGTGTAAGAATATGCTGGGAATATTTCTTTTTGGTGTAAAATTTGGTGCAATGGTTGGAGATGGTCTTAGTACTAGAATTCCGTTCTGTCCATTTGAACACCTCTCTTAACTCTTAAGAAACTTTAACAACCTTTTTTGAATGCTACTCTATTACAATGTAGTATCTGTTCATAATTACTTTACGACAGACTAAACTTAGGAAAGTGCTTGCAAAAATTTAAACTTAGGAAAGTGCTTGCAAAAATTAAATTCATGACTTTTACCCTTTTACTAGAATTCTGTTTTGTCCACTCGAACACCTCTCTTAAGAAACTTTAACAACCTTGTTTTAATGCTACTGACTCTATTACAATGTAGTATTTGTTCATAATTACTTTCTCAACCTACTGAAGCACAAAGAGCCAATAACGCGAATCAAACTCATAACCTTTCATATGGGAGTCTAACGCGGGTGTCATATGAGCACAAGGTACTTGACAGTTGACATGACCCATCACACATACTATTTTTACTATTTTGATCTTCAATTTATAATTATGTTCAATGGTGTTTTTATTATCAAATTTATACTTGTTATAATCATCTTTAAAATAAAAATGGTTATAATCATCTTTAAAATAAAAATAGTTAAAAATTAAATGAAATGTCAATAAATAGAAAAGAATGTCTTTTTAGGTGAAATATACCTTTTGATCATGGTTAACGACTTTAAAACCTTGACATCATATCAAGGGCCAATATATATGCCACAAAAAAAGTGACTAAGTAAAACATAATTCTCATATTAAAAAATCACGAGTTCGATTCTTGCCAACATTCTCTCCTGTTAGACAGGATCTTCCTATCTGATTACACAGAAACGAAATTTACCCGATACAATGGTATATATACTCAGAATATATATAGAACACAACAACCAACAAAATAAGTAGTAAGGAATTGAGTGCACAAGGAATACACCTGCATGCCACCAAACCTCATTTCAGCATGGTGCTGTTTACTAACCCTACATACATTCTTGTCATATAATCTATCTCTTCTGTACATTCCTCTATGCTTCATGGCATCACATAATCAAAGAAAACAAAAAATAAAATAAAATTTGCATACTGACAAGTGAAGATGTTGGAGCTTCTTGATCTTCAAGCTGTGCTTCTCAGGAATGCTTTTTATCTCTGAGAAAGAATGGTCGGTCCAAACACAGAATCAAAGAGAAAGACTCGAGGTAGCCCCCCGGCGAAGTTATAGTCTTAAGCTTTTTGAAGGGCACGGGCAGAAAGACCATGCAGAAGACGAACGAACCCCAAGAAACTGAGCTTTCCATCCGAGTGTCTGATCCAGTCCTGCAGAACTACGTGAACTGGAACCGAAGGGCTCAGGCCGAGCTCCTGTATATATATATATATATATATATATATATATATATAGAACAATGGATATGGATACACAAATGAACACGGGATGGAGAACGCTAATTTGGCAATGAATTCTTTAAAATGCAAAAAAAAAAAAGAATATAACTTTCATAGATCAAAAATGTGTTTCAGTTCAACTAAAATATTTATTATTTATATATTCTGCTCAACACACCCCCTCAGTGTGCGGGCCACATTTGTTATTTATATATATTATGCTGAACCGAGAAAGAGAGGGAGAAAGATAGAGAGCATACCGAAGCGAGTTCCTCGATCATGATAGGCCTGTTTCCATCCTTCTCGAAAAACTCGTAGCCACGTCGAGCATGCTGTTCCCAGCTGTCCATTCCTTCTAACTGATGAACACTTATCGCTGCAGCACAGAATTCTTCGAAATCCAGTTTCCTATATTGGAGAGAACTCACCTGCACAAGAAACAAATTTCTATGCCTTAGTGAATTTGTTGTAAACCGTAAAGAGTGACGTTTATAAACCACACCTAGGAGTAAAGAGTTTCCTAAAAAGAATCTTACTGTATTGACAAAATCCAAAACCCTCGAATCCTTCATTGCATCAGTGGCGAACTTTGCCATAGCCTGCCAAATCACATTTCAGCTTTTATTTAAGATACATACACTAGAAATTATTTAAAACGACTGAAATAATAAAGAAATACTAATGAGCTGCCGAGTAATCAATTGAAAACAACGGGAAAAAGGGGATAGACAGCAGCGGAGGAGGTCTAACCGTTTTGAAGTTTTGTAGAGATACACATCCGCTTTTGTTTGGCCCTAACGATGTAAATTGTTCCCGGAGATAAGCCAACTGTTGTATGGTTAATGTCTTTGCAAGAGCCTGTTACATTAGCAGATCCGAAACTAGCAGTCACATTTCGAGTATTTTGCATTTAGGGTTCTTTAAAACATTACAACGATTGAATTTGACAGGTCTGATTACATTACGTACCTTCAACGCTGTTTTTCGTAGAGACGAGGAACATATGTAAGCTTTTACAAGCTTGTATATAATCGTATCCAGAGGTATTTTGATATCATGGTGGCCCACTAACCAAGGATGACCTAAGCAGAACAAGGAAACAAAAATCGCTCGTTAATCCACACTCTAGAGAATTGAAGCATGTGCTTCATCTCAACTAAAAGCCTAAGCTGGGATTGAAGCATGTGCTCCATCTCAACTAAAAGCCTAAGTTGGTAGTTGGATTGCACATTAATGGTTATATGCTCAACACGCCCCCGGGCTGATACCAAATTGAAGCATGTGCTCTATCTCAACTAAAAGCTTAAGCTGGTAGTTGGATTGCACATTAATGGTTATATACTCAACATAGAGTGCATGACATCCCGATATTACAAAGAAAGCTAAGCAAAGTTGCTAAACATATAACTGGCTTGCCAAATAAAATTAGCTCTTCGAAAGCGGGAATTGAAGTAATTCATAGTTATAACCGTAAACAACTTACTAAGAGCCTGAGCAGCAGTTAGCCTCTTGCGGTAATCCTTGTTCAACAATCTCTTAACGAAGTCTACTGCATCGGGGGACAAATTGGGCCACGGGGCTTCATCAAAGCTTGGATCAGCCTTGAGGACCGCCCGAAAGATTCCAGATTCTGTCCGTGCCCAGAAAGGTCTGCTTCCACAAAGAAGAATATACGCAATCACACCTATACTCCACATGTCAGCTTCGGTTCCATATGATCTATGCAAGACTTCAGGGGCCACATAATATGCGCTTCCAACAATATCATTTAGCCTTTCATCTGCAACAACGCCTCCCATCACTAAGTATATTCTAATGATCGGAAAATAAGCAAAAAGTTAAGAAATCTAGGCATGGACTTACCCGGTTTTACATAATCAGAAAGTCCAAAGTCAATGGCCTTCAGAGGAGAACGCTCATCCTTCGTCGTAAAAAGAAAATTCTGAAGCAGAATTTCAGAGAGGAAATCAGCCAAACCAAGATAGATACGACAAAAGAAACTCAAGTACTAAACTCAATCTCAATTGTGCACCTCGGGTTTTAGGTCTCGGTGAACCACTCCTTGAAGATGACAATATGCAACGACGTTTAGAATCTGCACCATAACAACTTTAGCATCTTCTTCCGAGTATTTGCCACCCCTTCATTTCAAACAAAACAAAATTAATAATCAAGAATAAATAAATCGAAGTGTTAGAATTTAGGAAAAGATATGCACCTAGAAAGTATCCTGTCGAGTAATTCCCCTCCTTTACATAACCTGTTAGAGTGAAAACCTTTGTTTAGGCTTCTGAATCACAGTAAACATTGCCTACTTTCATAGTAATATGAGGAGAAATCATAGTTAAAAATTACAGTATTCTCATACAATGATAAATAATAATGTTTTAAGATAACAGGTAAAAATCACCCGGAATAAAATAGGACCATCATGGAGAATTATCCAAAATATTCAAACTTACTCCATTACTATATAGACGTTTTCTTCATCATCATATGCATCGTAGAAATGCACTAGGTTTCTATGTCCCGTTAACGCACGCAATATATTGACTTCTCTCCTCACATCTTCTATGGCAATTGCTGTAGTCATCTGCACAAGCATTCCTCGATAAGAACATCATAAGACAAGAACAAAAACCTCGTTTCACATGGTCCACAGATAACAGAAAACATTAGTGAAAACATTATCGAACTAGTGAGAATTTGGCATAGGCAGAGGATCCACATTGTGGGAAGGAATATAAGGTAAACAAATAGAAGAAGAGAAGAAAACACATCATCATTGCAATATTCCTAAGTATTTAGATTTAGGCCATAGAAACAAGTTTGATTAAATCTCATTAACCAAAAACTAAACTAACAGCAACAACAATAATGAATAATGTTCTCCAGCAAGATTCAGCAACCAAATCATATGAAATGCAAGTAAAAGTCAAAGATTATGAAAAGTGAGAATAAGAACACCAAAAACCTTTGATTTTTGGATGACTTTGACTGCCACATCCTGGCCCTTCAAGCTCCCTTTCTTTCCCTTGGCAGCACAAGTATACCCAAAATGCCCCCTTCCCACTTCTTCCCCAAGCTCATAATGGCTTTCAAAATTCTTGGAGAAGCCAAAGTTTTTATCCAACCCAATATCACACTCACTCCCTTCAGGGATTGTGGCCTCATTAGGCTTCACTGAGCCATGTCTCCTGGCAAGCAATGCCTTTATGTGCTTGGCTGGTGAAGGTGGTGGGAATGGCCTCTTGAACAAGCGCAGAGGGGTGGAATTAACACTGGAATTAGCAGGTGAGTTCTTGAAAGCACTAGGCAGAGGGCTTGGGCTGTAAAAGGGGAACTTTGGAGTTTTTGAAGTGTGGGAACTCCATGAAGGCTCATTCTCATTGGGGATCACTGAGTCCTCAGAGAACCTTTTCTGGGCTTCAATTGGTTTCCCATGACACAGTCCCATGGAATCAAAACCCAAAGTGTGCTAAAATTCACAAACAAAATCAACACACAAAGGGGAAATTTTTAGAGCTTTCTTGATCTTTGCCAATAAGCAGGAGCAAAATGCACACAAGAAACTAGACCATTAAGAGCCAGAAGTTGGGATTTTGAGGAAAGTTGAAATCTTGGAAATGGGAAATCCAGAAAGACGAGATTTTTTTTTGATCAGCAGCAAAGAATTATTGGCGGAATTCGAGCTCTTGGGGAAAGAGAAAGCAAGGGGAGAAGAAAAGAAGTTGAATTGCCAAGAAAAAAGGGCACCACTTTCTGGTGAAATGATCAAATGCCAGAGAAACAAATCTCTATAAGGATTCAGGAATCAGGGAATTCAGCAGAGTAGAATTTAAGCTCAACAATGGAAAGAGATAAAGGAAGAGTGGAAAGCAAAGATAATTCAACTATTCAAGAAAAGAGAACCAAAATCAACAAAAGAAACTTAATTTAGTAATTTCCAAGAACTAAGGTCAAGAATGGGTCTGAAAAAAAAAAGAGAGAAAAAGTAAATAAAGATGCTAAGCATAGGCCGCAAGAAAAGAGAGGTGAAGAGGGGGGGAAAAGAAAAGAAGCCACAGTGCCACACCACCCTCCTTCCTTCCTTCCTTCTCTACTTTTCCAAGCTTTTCATTATTATATATTTATTTAAATTTAAATTTTATTACAATTTTCATTTTTGGTTGTTTCTGCATAAAAACTATCATTTTTAGAGGTCCTATTATTAATTGTTATTAATAATTCTAGTGGGGTTTGAGGTTGGATCCTTCCAGGCTGTCCTAATTGAGAGAGAGGACAGAAGGGAGGTGGGAAAGGGTCTGTATTGTGGTTTCTTGTGTATACATCTGCAAACAACTAAGCTAACTAACATTTTTGAACTTTGACTATTTTTTTATTTTTGTTTTTTGCCTTTTCAACTTTGAAATTATTGATTTTCCTAATTATCATGTGTCTCTCATTAATTTATTTTTATCAAAAAAATTATACCACTCGAGTTTCAGTCAAACCGTAATCGGAGAGCCCTTTGAGCATCTAGTGCTCCATGTAGCCAAACTCAATACAATACATGTCATATTATCTATTCTTGAAAATCAAGATTAGTTTTTGTTTTAGTTTGACATGAAGAATGCATTTGGGTGTAAACAAGGGCTTAGTCAAGGAGGTTTATATAGATATATCAGTCGATTTTGAAACTGCACAAAGTAAAAAAGAAAGGTTTGGAAGCTGAAAAATGTATTATATAGACTTAAACAATCACCCAGAGTATGGTTCGACAATGTTCTCTAAGGTACTAGACAGAACCAAACAATATTATATTATGATGCATTGGTATAGTGGAGAAATAATATGAATTTGCTTGTTTCCGGGCTTCCAACAACATGGTGTGGATTCGAACCCCACTAGAAACTTGAAAAATCATTGGAGGACTTTGACACGGCCAATCAGGACAACTCGGGATCTACCTCCTTCGTGAACTTTGGGGTGAACTCATGGGATTTAGATATAGTTTGAAATTGGGTTATTAAAAAATAAATAATTGTCCTGAAATTGGGTTATTAAAAAATAAATAATGGCCCTGTTTGGTAAATGGTTGTTAGTTATTAGCTGATTGAGTTAATTAGAGGATATAACTAGTAGATAACATTAGCTGATTGTATGGAGTGTTTGCTAAATTAGCTGTTAGATGTTTGATATAATTTTTTTTTTTAAAAGCTAATTGAAAAAGCTGTTTTAAGCAGCTTTTTGAATTTTAGCATTTTGAAGTTGATTTTTTTAACTAAGTCAAACAATTAATAATGGTTAAATAAGTCAAATTGACTGATATGCTAATATTTTACCAAACAGGGCCAATATTAATTTGTACATGCATGAGAGTTTACTAGTCATTGTTGTGTATAAGGATACATTGAATAATTATGTCAAAAGCTTGTATAGTTCCAACTTCCAACCAATGTGATCATGAGATTTCAATTTGAAATTTGAAGGGCATCTTGGCATCATTATTGGTAGGTGCACATAGTTAAATGTATTACTTAAATTAAATCATATAATAATGCATTGAATAAGTTACATATGTTTCACAACTACTAGGGCTTGCTCAATAATAGGGTTCAAGTAAGGTCAAATACGGAATATATATGAATGCACATTTTACATGATTTGCTAGCTAGCAAGTGAAATTGTTTGTTTGTTTCACATCAAGCAAGTACAACAAATCATACACACCCATTGTTTGTTTATATATATATATATATATATATATATATATATATATATATATATATATATATATATATATATATATATATATATAAAATTATATTAAAAGTGAAGTGCATGCAAATAATTTTCAGATTTAATATAAATATATATAAAGTTCGAATATAAAATTAAATCTACTTGCAATAAAATAATTCAATTGTACAAAGTTTATTTTTCTTATTATACGAGAGACATGCAAGATTAAGAAAAATAATCATTACACATGCGTCATTTCGATCAAAATTGTAAATTAATTTGTAAAAGTCCCAATTATGAATCATATTTCTAAAAAAATTAAAACTATTCACGCGGTCTAATAACCAAATTAAAGCTAGATTGGAAATGACAATAGCTTCATGTGCATCAAGAGGCTAATTAGTGTGTTAACTAGATGGCAAAATTGGTTTTAAGGATTTATAAGTTGGTCTTCATTGCAATAAAACACCGAAATACTCATGAATTTCATTGGTTTGGTTACAAAAATTTCAGAAAATTTGATCTAGCTTCCATCTAGTACATTATGGTTGTTCTTGCTATCAAACAAAGTAACATTGATGTCACCTGGCCTTGTCACAATTTATATAATTTTTTCCCCGTTCCTGAAAAAAAAAAAAAAAAAAAACACTATGAATAATCATATTATATAGCTTGAATGCAAATTAAAGTTGAATTAATTCAACCACACAAGTGCTACCCATCCAAATTTGAAGTGAGTAGGCAATTAAAATTTTGAATTTAAAGATTGAATTGATGATAGATCATATCATCTATATCAAGCATGCAATCTCCACTAAGAAAAGCAGCATCATATCATGCCCTCAACATTATATTCTTGAGACACATATACACTTGAATCTCCATAGCCACACGCATGATCATAGGGAGGTAGAAACATTATTAAATTTAGGGTTTGTAATTAATTAGCTTTACCAAAATATTATCTGATGAAGAAGTTAGTTGACCTAAGTATGGATCCCTCATCATCTGGTTTCCTTAGTTCCTTTGCAATGATATCATAGAAAATATTATGATCATAATTGTGTCAATATATGCTTTAATTTGCTTGACTCGTGCAATTGCTTGCACCATTAATCATAATCTCCATTACTAATATATATATTAATTAATAATGTAGAGTCAAGAGGTTCTTAACCATAACTCAACTGTCAACTAAGCTAGCCCCCCTAATTGCACATCCATGTGTAATAAATAAATCAAATTATTTAATTTTGTATGTATAGTAATATATATATATATATATACACACACACACGCGCGATAGGGATAATTAGCCGATAATTGTGCCCATGCGATGGTCGATAACGAACCCCGGTACGAGCTGGGCCCGACCCGACCAATGCCGACCTCGCACCCATTCTTTCCCGACCTTATTGCCTTTTGATCGATCCCCGCGCACGGGTAGTGGGCTCGAGCACCCTTGCAGTATTTGCGCTCCGACGTGCTCGGCTCGGGACCGACCCTCCGACTTACCTCCAACAACGGTATGCAAGACCTTTAGGAATCACAGAACACGTGGCCAAGCCCCCTTGGGTCCTGGCCTGAACCCGTGCATGTGCTCTACGTGCCGCAAGACTGGGTACCTAGCATGTTGCTATGTAATAGCCCACAAACTACATATGACAATCATTATTGTGTGGACCATGGTCCACACAAGTTTTGTGGACCATATTTTATATACTGTAAAATAATGTACATTCAGTACAAAAATAATGTACATTGTATTCAGGAAATGTACATTATTTTTGTACTGAGTGTACATTATATTGTATAATGTACATTCAGTACAAAAATAATGTACATTCAGTATATTAAAAATATACTTTTTGTTATGGTCAACATAACATTGTGTGGACCATGGTCCACACAATAATTTGCCACATACGAGAGGTAAATCGCACTAAAAAGAGTCTATGTGACGGATTCGATCAAAAAGAATATTGTCATTATATTCACTGTTAACATATAACGCCTACATGTTAATGATGCATCAAATATTTTCTGAGGATATAATCCTGCTTTTCAAAAGCATGGTTTTACAATTCTGGGAATGATTGTGTCAAAATTTGTATGTTCGTGCTGTTTCTCTGTAATAATTTTAATTTTGACAAACAAAAGGTCAATGTTTAAAATATTCATTAGAAATAATCTTCTCTGGATATATCCACAGGCAGATCAAGACAATATTATACCGTAATTACGTATAAGCATCTTAGTACTTAGATTAAACCACTCATTAATTTCCTCAACATTGTATCTTCTGCTTGCTCATTTTGTCACCCATTTACTCAAGCAATCAAATTATATTTGTCTCCCACTTAGATTATCTAACCTAACAAAGTCCTAATCAAACTCTGAATTATTGATTGCAACATAACCACACATTATATTGTTAATAATCACTCGACACCTTACATATTAAGATGAGGTGTACGTTTTAATATTGGGAATTTTAACTTATCGAGAATAGTTTTGTGTATTTTAGACAACTCCCACATAGAGTCAAACTTTATACCTTATAGTTATCTCTTAGTGATTCTTTGCCGAATAAAATTACAAAGCAGACTTCGCTCAAAACACACCATTAATAGTGACTGCGGACTTTCTCATAAATAAATTAAAAAATCACTTGTACCTCCGATTCAAATCTAACTATTAATTAGTGTGATTAATAATGGCTGATATAGTAGATAGCTTAGGGTTGCCAAGTGTATGTATAGTCAATAACCACTCTTGCAGCTCCATAATTGTACTATATATTAATGGCATACATTGCATGAAATGTCACACTAGGTTATGCAGGCCTATATATACATGCAATACTTTGGTGCTTGCTCTATTGCTAGCTAGGTATGGTGTCCTATTCCTACAAAATACATCTAAAGTTATATTTATCTCGACAGTATTTTTTCATTTTTATTTTTAAAAAAATATTATTGTCATGTTATGATATTTACAATTTTACTATTTTTTTCTACGTTCTTACAATTTCATCTCACTTTCAATTATAATAATATAATAATTAATTAATGGTACGTTGCGTTGTAGCATATTAATATAATGAGTTTGTACTTTTAATTTCATGTTTAAATCATTTTCATCTAAACTAATATATTTTAGTACATTTTTTTATTTGATTAGTAAATACATTTTTAAACTCATAGTATGGAAGTGTGGTCGACCCATTCATAAGCATTTATTTTTATTAGAAGAATTGCATTTTAATTGTGATGGCATCGAGAGTTGGTAAATTGGATGAAGTTAATCACGAGACATTATAATAAAAGAATTGTTTTAGAAATATATCTATAACTGGTTAGAAAATT